GTTAAGAGGTGAAAAGCCCTGTTTCACGACGATCTCATTTGTCTTTTTTACCCCTCCAGCCCCAACGCCGCGCGCCATACCCGCAACCTGGCACGTTTCTTAGAACAAAAGGAAATTGCTCCCAGGTCGAATCCTTCAAGGCACCAATATCCGATCATTCCTATGCACTGGGCTCGGCATATCCCGTCTTATTGCTCGTGCCCGTCTTTTGGGCGGATGATGAGCTAGAGGGATTTGATACTTATTATTTTCTTCATTATTTATTATTCATTATTCATACCTACGCCTTTCATTAATCATACTTCCCCAACCTCGTGACCAATCACGCGACGCTATCCACTTTCCCCTCCTCGCGGTATTCCATCTTTCCACAGGACCCGGTGCAGACCCTGTGGATACAAGATAGCCTTGGTAGCGGCATATCCAGAATATCGACAGGTTCCAGCATATCGACCGCCTGAGGCTCAAGAGTATCGACCTCTATCAAAGTATCAAGAGTGAAGTATATATTACTCACGTGCTCTCACGTGCCACACGTGAATCAGGCAGAAAGCTCAGGCTTTTAAGGCACCAATTCTCACCGCCTCGCCCCTCTCAAACCCAAAGCCATCAACGACAACCAAAAGCTCCAGTTTGACCTCCAACCTTTCCCGCCGATCGACCTCAAGAGGCCGGAGCTCTCGCTGCATGCAAGCTTAGCCCTACCCGCTTTCTTGCGCGTTTCTCCTCCCCCTCCATCGCGACATATTCGACGCGCTTTCTCGCGGCCTGCGCTGCCGTCCGACTCCCGTGCCCTTTGACTATGTATGGCACGCCTCACTCTCTCAACACGATGAGCGGAATGGGAGGAGAGGCCGTTGATGGCTCGGGAACCATCGATCCGGCAAATTTGAGCAATTCTGGTATGTTTAGTTGTTTCCATTTACGCTCTGTCCCTCGTCCCTTTTCGCGCCTTCGTGTCCGATATTGCTTCTATCGCGACTTATCTTTTGCGCAAACCCCCGACCCCCACACGCGCACACGATCGCTTTCTTGCGATTTGCCCTGAGATCGCGTGCGCGCAACCTCCCTTGACCATATTTTTGCATTCTATCACCATTTTCCTGTCGCCCGCCTTCAAACTGATACCCCCGCTAGTCTCTGGTCAACCGGCACCATCCCTGCTGAACCAAGTCCCCGTGGTGTCAAGCGTAGTCACACCCCTGATCACAGTGGGAATGGACATACAGAAGGAGATCAGGATGATGGTACGTGCCTCATGGGCAGAGAATGTGCCGTCATGTTACCTTTCGAATAGCCATCGTGTCCGCAACTTCCGTCGCTTGTCATGTTCTTTTGTTCGGTCGCATTTGGCTTTAGATCCTTTCGGTGGGCTGGACTAACTCGTATTTTTTCTTCTTCTATAAACAGAGGACCACAGCCGCCGCAAGCGCGGTCGTCCCCCAAAGACGCCACGAGCAAGCTCCAGCGATCATCCGACCACAGGCACCCCGATACAAACGCCGCAGATGCAGTCCCGGCCGCTTCCCCATCAGTCTGCCGGGTCACCACAGCTCGCTTCGCCTCCGGATAAGGTAACACCGACAAAGACGCTAGTAAAGGCACTTCCGACAGTCCGAGACCACACTTCCGACCAGTTGAACGATGAAGGCGATGAATATATCCCCAAGGAGTTCGATGAAGCAGGAGAGACAAAGGTGGATGCTATGGGATATCCGCAGGGAAATCGTGAATACAAGTGTCGGACATTCCGTGTACCCAACCGAGGCGAAAAGCTCTTCATGCTGGCGACAGAGTGCGCGAGGGTCTTGAACTACCGTGATTCGTACCTACTGTTCAACAAAAATCGATCTTTGCACAAGATTATCGCATCTCAGATCGAGAAAGACGACCTGATACAGCAGGATATCCTTCCGTATTCTTATCGATCCCGCCAAATTGCGATCGTGTCTGCTAGATCCATGTTCCGCCAGTTTGGTAGTCGAGTGGTTGCCAACGGTCGACGGGTTCGAGACGACTACTGGGAGAGCAAGGCCAGGAAACAAGGTTTCACTGAAGAAGATATGGCGGGCGAGAAGCGTCCCGGTGCTGCTAAGACTAGGGATGGAGCAGCTACCGAAACTGAACGTCACAATACGCTACCGGCACTCCCACATAACGATGTTATCTTCAGCAGTGTCGTCGAGGCCCTGCCTCCAGGTCTCTCGTTAGATGTGACTGATGCTTCTGCCCTGGGACAACTTCCCTTGATCCATATGGCGACGACAGACGACCATCGTCTACGGGACTACATGTCACATCAACAGGCGCGCCAAGAATTAACGGGTCAACCCTATCAAGATCGCACGCAAACCAGTACCGGCGCAGAAATCATTCACCAGGCTCAGACTGCCGCCGACTTCAACCGGGCCCTGGGAGCTCAACGAAACCTCCGCTTGAAAGGACTCGAAGAATTCTACAGCAAACCACGGGAAGCACCTGAAACGGATCAGCCACAGTCAAGCACCGCTCTCGATTCCGGTCTTTCCGTATCGCAACCTCTTCAAACTGCTCAGGTTCCTCCCGCAGGAATGGCAAACCCTTCTCAGGCGCAGCCTGTGATGCCACATCACCAACAGCCCATGATGGCTCAGCAAGCTTACGCCCAACATCAGCACCAACAAGCTATTGCACAGTCTCCCGTTCGAGGTATCCCGGCAGGCATGCGACCCGACCTTATGCATCAACGATCCAACCCATCTATGCCCGCTGGTGTGGCACAAGCCCCTTACGGATATCCTTCGCAACAGCAGCAGCAGCAGCAGCAGCAGCAGATGTGGGGTCAACCTCCTCCGCAACCTCAACCCTCACCCGTACCTTCAGGCGCCCAGGGTGTCGGCATGCCTCAATATGCCCAGCAAATGGCAGCTGCTCCCCAGCAAGCACCGTCACCAATTCACCATGCCCAACAGCCTCACCAATCTCCCCGCAACCAGCACCGCCCATCTGTGCCGCAAATGCAGCAACAATTTCAGATGCAACATCCGCAAGCGCAACAACAAGCCATGGGACAAATGTACCCTGGCGGAGCCCCTGCTGGATACCCCGCGATGCCGCGAGGGATGTACCCCTCGAGTCAAGCCGGCCCTGGCGGTCAAGCCTATATGGGCCAACCTCAACAACACTCCGGTATGGCGGTCAACATGGGAGCTGCTGGTATGCCTGGGTGGCCGCCTGGTACTGGGCCTGGTGGAGCCATGCAGCCCGGTCAACCCCAGCCAGGTCAATCAGGCAGCCCGCTTGGAGGATGGTCAGGATACTAGATTCCAGCTTGGCGTTATCTAGAATGGGCATTTTCCAAGGGATTCGATATTCTTCTCCGTTTTCATCTCAACATCACAGAGACGTCCCTTTTGTTTGGCTTCTGGCCCTTGCTCTCCCCCATTCCTTTCCCTTTGTTCCTTTTGGCCACATTTCGATGTTGTGTATGTTCATCTCTTTCTGACGCCCCCTTGCATATCGTATCTGCTTGTGTGCAAATCCCTTGACGAAGAGGGGGGAGTTCTTCGATAATGTTAATCTGGGCCAACCTCCCTATACCCTCTTGTTGTACCCGGTTGGGCTCGATTCTCGATCGAGATACCCATTTTGCTCTTTTTATTCTTATGTGTCCATTTCTCTCCACTTTGTTCTTGTGGCATTCGGCGTTTCCCTGTTGACTGAATTTGACTTGATCTGGCGTTGATGATATTGCCGATTGGTTTTACAGGATTACTATGAGTATGTACTTTTTTTATTGTTGAAATCTTTTCTGTGATTCTCTATTCTTTATTCTTCCTTGATTTCTCTCTATACATGGTCGTTTATAGAGGGATGTATGGGTTTTCCTTGACATCGTGAATTGAAGTTTATCAAATGGTTTGTTTCATTTAGGGCAAAGCCAAGCTTTGGTTGTTCCCCATTCCTCTCCGGGCAGGAACTACGTCTCCTTTATACATTGGATGTACTCTTCTCTTCTCTTCTCTATTCTTTTGGACTCTGCAGTTGACCGCTTGTGACTCCTTTTTGTATGTTCTTGCTGCTCTTTTCGCTTGTGTACCGTCTTGACTTAAGAATTCTTTTGGATTCCCCCTTTGGTTTCGCTTGTCTATTTGAGATCCGGGGTCACTCCCCTGAATGACAATTTTTAGTTTCTTTTTGATACTGCCCTTCAGTTGTCTATATTCGATTGTTTGTTTGTTTTAAAGTTCTTATGCTTCCTTTTCTTTTTATCTCTGCGGACCAATCCCTTCCCCCTCCGATCGCTCTGATAGCCACAAATTGATAGTGACACCTCGCTCTGCCGGCGGTAGTTTGTCTTGGGTACCTAATAATAGATATGATTTTTATTTGGTCGTCTTCTAGCGCTCCAACAACAAAAACAAAGTTTACTAATAATAGTCGTAGTATATATATTATGATATGACATATAAAAAGCAAAAAGTAAGCGTCCCCGGGAAGGCTCGAACTTCCAACCTCTCGATTAACAGTCGAACGCGCTAGCCAATTGCGCCACGGAGACTTGCTTGCTGAGAAGTGGCGGAAATTATTGCATCATATCTCAGAAAATACTTTTAGCCGAGAATCTTCCGGTGTTGGGATGGCAAAGTTGTTCCCCGCACGTTTCCAACAATAGTCACACAGTCACACTACCTTTTACCCTTTACTTTTTACCTTTACCTCCGGCAAACTTGAACCTTGAAATATTCTCCAACATCATAGCCCCCCTTCTACAAGATTCACCAAATCCTGCTTATTCCATTCCCCCCCCTGCTCGCTACGATAGGCTGTACCAGCTTCGCAATGGTCCCCACATAGATGTAACGAACACACTTGCACACCACCGCACCGCACCGGAGAGGTCCGAGCGGGGCGTCAGGGGCAATTTTTCATTCGAACCTCACAACTAGCTTCTCCGATCATCACCCATTTGCGACTGAGTAAGGCTGGGGGAGTACACAATATCCTTGTCGAGCCGAGTCATGCCGTCCGGTCAGCACTACCAGCCGGGATCCCAGTCAAGCCGGGGAGGACTCGGTGTGGGAGTCCCACCCAAGCAACCCAAATTTGTGAAGGATGCCCCGGATACCAAGACAAAGAATTTAGTCATCCGGCCCCCAGGCGACTTCCTCTGGGTAGATTACCAGGATGATAAGTCTCAAGGCCGCGAATTATCCCGTTCTAAGCAGGCTTTCGTAAGGACCCGCCATCATCGCATGCGAAGGGAGAAGCAGCTGCAACAATTAAAATCCCCTCCCGATCATCAGGGCCCCTCACCGTCCGATTCAAGTTCTACTACGTCTTCTACTTCTTCTACCTCTTCTACTACGGCCACCAACCCTGAGAGAAACACTACTCGTGTGCCCAAGCATGAAGAAGATTACGATGACAATGTGCTGGAATGTCGCAACCACTATCAAGCTTCCCAGCAATGCCCATTAATAAATAACTCCATCGGAGCTGGGGTCCTCGATGGAAGTCCTGCTCTGGCCGTCTCCATTGACCAAAATCCAAATATTTACTTCCAACATTGTGAGTGCCTACTACCTATACCATGGCCACAGCCCAGTCCAGTCCTATCCAGCATTAATCTACACCCAAATTTGAATTTGATTCACTTTCGTCTGTCCTCATCCGCCAAGTGAAATACTAGTTAACACATTAACGCAGATCGAATTCATAGCTCAAGATCATGCTTCCCTCTTTGCTCCAGCGGGGTGGTAGTCTGGTTTTGGCAAAAGGCCCTCGAAGATCCCGCCTTGATGCAAATTAAATTATCAATCAGCGCATCTCACCGTGCTGCGATTCTCGAATCATGTGGTGCTCCACCGGACATGATTCGGAAACCCGCACAGGATGCACTTCGCCTCCGCGTTGGAACGATCAAATCAGTCCAGGAGCTATTGCAAAATAAAGCCAAGATATACGCTGGCTCAACCATCTTTATTATTTCTCATCTTATTGTCGCAGAGGTAAGAATTTCTGTCACCGCCCTCGTTCTCGTGGGCTCGGCTTCGGGTCTTGTTGGAAGGCTTCCTGCTCACACCAATCTAGGGTATGGAAGGCAATGTCGAGGCCGTCGAAGCACATATAAATGGTATGGATAAAATAATTGCCGGGGCAGGTGGACTGGATGCTCTTGATTTTGGCCTACTGGCTATGGTTTATAGGTAAAGCTCACGGCTCCCGCATACCATATAAGAATATGTACCTCGATTTCAGAACACATCTAACGATCTTTTCACAGCTGCGCATTCGTTCGAGGGCTGATAACTCAATCACCACCGGCACTCTACATGTGTTCTAAATTCCAGAACAGAGTATTCAAAGAGTCCGCCTTTTTCAAACTGAACAACCGATTTACAAAACTATCCAAACTCTCCAATCTCGGCACCAGTTTCCTCGACTCACCTTGGTCGAGAGATATTCCGCCCATGTTCAAGTCGATTATTTCTTTGTTCCAGCAGCTGGTGACCTATTACGAGAGCTTGGACATTGTCGTTGCCGAACCGATGTCCGTTGAAAATGACTGTTTACTATTTTTGGGTTATCGGCTACTGGCTCTACCATATCAGTGTGTGCTCACGCCGTTTCAAGAAACGCTGCGACTCACAATCTTGACCTACGCGTCTGTAAGAGTTTGGAGCTTTTACGGCATGGCTTGTTTGGAAGCTCATACTGAGACGCTACGACAAAGCCTACTCGGGAGTCTTCCAGTGATTCGAAGCACTGCTCCCGACCTACTGTTTTGGGTTCTCTTCATAGGCAGTCTTGCGTCCAGAGGAATGAGATGTCATCCGTGGTTTCTGACTCGCCTCGTGGATGCCGCAGACCAGTTAGGGCTGGAAGGTTGGGATAGTGCGGTCCCTATATTAGAGAGGTTTTTCTTCGTCTGTCGGTTGAGAGATGAACCTGCCAGAGACTTGTGGAATTCCGCATTCCGCTGAGACAGGGCAGGCGGTTATTGTATAATATTAAGAACACTCATAGTTATGAGTTAATGTATCATGCGTTTATGATGAATATATAGCAACAAAATCCAATACCAGGATGGATCTATTCAAGTTGAAATTCTCCTTCCAAGTCCTGAAATAATGTAGACTAACCCCGCGATAAATTCAAAAAATCGATGAATCCCAATCACCGCCAAAATTAAATGCAATACCTTCTTCGCGACTGGTAGTCACGCAATTGCCACCCTAACCAGATTCGACAATGGACCCCAATTGGGTTTTCCAGCCGCGCAAGCACGGCGAAGCGCACACAAAAATCGGGCCATTCCATCCATCCCCACCCACCCCCGTCGCCCCCAAAAAAAAAAAAACATCCTCCATCGCAGAGATAGAAGAAGCAAAAAGAGACGTCCCCGGGAAGGCTCGAACTTCCAACCTCTCGATTAACAGTCGAACGCGCTAGCCAATTGCGCCACGGAGACGTGCTTGTTGGAACATCGGTCGGATCTTTGGATCCACAAGGCCACGCGGCTGAGACCCCAGGTGGGTCCTTCGGAAGAGCTATCTGGCAAGGGCAATTATTGGAACAAAGTGAGCAACACGTTAAACGATTTATCCTACAATGGATGGGCCAAGACCATTTCTATAGTTATTTTTCGTCCAGAGCTCTAGTCACATTCTGTATATAAAATAGGTACTCTCTAGGGCTGTACTCAGACTTCAAGTTTGCTTCGAGATTGTACTCCGAAGGTACTAGTATAGAACGTGGACAGAATATATATCCATCGAGCACTCTGAAGTTCAAGTTGAATTTCATTTAGCCCTACCCCAGAGGCCAAGTATCCTCAAACCAATAAAACAGACAACATTGGAAAACCCCTGGATGATAACTATGATCTCAATATTCTGACCACTAGGTAGCCCTACTAGGTACTTCAACTTGGAACTTCTTAAGGCCATTGGCCCTTTCCGCCCCGGCGATATCGTGTGGTACCAATTAGCGAGTCAGGAGAGACAGCAACAATCCAGAACGTCAATATGCCTACTACTATCCCTAGTGATGCGTGCCATGCCTCAATAATGTCAAAATAAATATTCAACCCAAACTTTCGATTTTAGACAGAATCTATTGTGCGAGTATATCCCTGACCAAGGGTAGATAATTAAAATGTAAAAATATGATATCGCACCGAAATATTCCGTAGAACGGGCATAAAGAGCCGAAATCGCAATGAAGGAGGATGAGGGATGCGATTGGCAAATATCCTACCAGAAGTTTCAATAGTGATCGGTGACTTGGTATCAAAAAAAATCCGATCAAAACCCGTACGGACAAAGCAAGCCAAAATCTCAATCTAGAGAAAGAAAAACAAAAACATACAACAGCAGGGATTCGCATGTGGTCACCCACCATACTACTAACCTGCCGGCGTGTGGCTTAAGTACGGCTGAGCGGACGGGAAGCCCTGTTCTCCACACCCTATGGTCGTATGTACTAGGAACACCCGGAAAGGGGGTAATATACTGGGTTCACTTGATCAAATCTACTTGTGATATACGAAACCCATAACCCATAACCAAAACAAAATCGGGAGGAACAAGATGGAGCAAACCCCTTCTACAAAATCTCAAAGTCAGTGCTTGAGGGGCAAACTTGGAATACAATTCACTTTTCGACGTTATCTGCTCTTTTTGATGGAGGCTGCCGATGGAGAACTATGTACAACATCGGAGAGCCTCAAATAGTTCAAGTTAATCAGTTTCAAACCTGGCAATAATTGCAAGCCGAATCAACCTTTGACACGGCCTAGAACATGTTTGGGGGTCGATTCGTGCGCTTCTGGACGAACATTCCCAGATCACCAGCCTGCCCCCTTGACAACCACTCCGGAATGCAAATTGCCCTGTGGAAGTGGAAGGAGAAACCAATGAAAATACCCAAGGAAATTATTTCAAGCTAATGTCAATGATTCTCGCAAGCAATTCCCCTCCGGCCGGGGTGAGCCTTTGTTGTTCGGGTTGCTGGTGGGGGGACATTGCGGCCCATACCATGCGGGATGAGAGCCAGTGCGGCCAAATGACGCAGCGAACCAGGTGGATTGTTTTTCTCAGTGGCATGCAGACTGGTAGGCAAAATAACTCGACGGCTCCTATTTAAGGTATCCTTGTCACAAGGTTCCTGCGCGTGTTATCTCGTGCGTTTACGACAATTCGACCTTTCTCCTGGGCTTTGATCCCGCCGTTCCTTCTAGGGTTATAGTTTTCTTTTTTTCTTTCCTTAATACTCGCAATCTCTCAACTATATTAGCCACTCCTTATATTTAACAACACTATGCGTCGCTCTCAGACGTACATTTCCTGGTCCCTGCTGCTGGCCTCCTTGGGCGGAGCTCAAGCAAAGCTCGATTTGAACTCGAGTTCTAACGTTGTTGTTTACTGGGGTAAGAGAGAAATTACGACAGGAGCAAGAGAATGTTACTGACCAGAGACTGCGTTTCAAAGGCCAAAACTCATTGCAAGGAAAGGGCGGAGAGAACCAAAAGCCACTGGCCCATTACTGCGAGGGTGAGTAATTGGAGGCATTGAAGATATCAAGGTATCGAAACTGACATGTTTGGCAGATGACAATATCGATGTATGGATATTTGCGTTAGGAAGTCTCATGGGAATAGCTAACAGAGATATAGGTTCTTCCCATCGCATTCGACATGATGGTCAACGGACCTGGTGGTGCTCCCGAGATTGACTTCGCTGTCACATCTCAGGATTGCGAAGTGTTTGAGGGAACTCAACTGAAGCACTGTCCAAAGATTGGGTACGTATGACCGGTGATACAACCCCTGCGACAAACTAACATTCGGCAGTGAGGACATCAAAAAGTGCCAAGAGAAGGGTAAAACCATTCTCTTGTCCATCGGCGGTGCCACTTACAGCGAGGGCGGCTTCAAGAACGAGGATGATGCAAAAGCTGGAGCTAAATTGATGTGGGAAACCTTTGGTCCCGTCAAGGAAGGTTCCAAAATGAAGCGTCCCTTTGATGATGCCGCCCTCGATGGATTCGACTTCGACTTCGAATCCAGTGTGACGCATATGGCCCCCTTCGCCAACGAGCTCCGCGCCCTGATCAACAAGGAGACCGATAGAAAATACTTCTTGACTGCTGCTCCTCAATGCCCATACCCTGACCAAGCCGACAAGGACATCCTTAACGGCCCCGTGTATATCGATGCCATCTGGGTGCAGTTCTACAACAACTTCTGCGGCGTCAACAACTTCAACAAGGATGCCACGAGCTCCAAGTATAACTTCGAAGAATGGGATAACTGGGCCAAGACAGTCTCCAAGAACAAGGATGTCAAGGTCATCATTGGTGTCCCCGCCGATACAACTGCCGCCAGCACTGGATACATCCCAGCCGACAAGCTGGTCGATGTGATCGAGTACTCAAAGAAGTTCGAGAGCTTCGGCGGTGTTATGATGTGGGATGTAACACAGGCATACGCAAATGATGGATTTATTGACACCGTAGTCAAGGCCCTGGGTGATGGCAGTGGTGATTCTGGTTCGTCGTCGTCGTCCAACTCGGCGTCGACCACGACGTCTGCATCTACGTCCACTAACTCACCGAATACCTCGCAATCTTCCAATGCACCCGGCTCCTCGTCCTCCTCTTCCTCCTCATCTGCATCTGGATCCTCGTCCAGTGAGCCCGAAATGCCGACTCCCACCGCAGAGACAACGACTACCGACGCTCCGGCTAAGCCAACGACTACATCGACCACGAATTCTGCTACCGAAGCTGCTCCCAAGCCAACCTCGACCTCGACCTCGACTCCGACTTCTACTTCGACTTCGACTTCGACACAGCAAGCTGCCGCACCCACCGCTGACTCGACGACTACGGCAGCACCCGCCACTACCACCACGCCTGCGGCCAAGCCTGCCAAGGACGACGAAGACAACGACGACGACATGCCTGTCTCCCCAGATTACGACCCTACTTCCGATTTGTCGGATCTTACCAAGGGTGCCGATGCTGCTGGATCTGCTCTTCTGGGCTCTGATCTCTTCGGCCTGCTGAAAGGTCTTCAACAGGCCAATGGTCCTGTCATGAATGTGGCACAAGGCCTAACTAAGAATCTTCGATTCGCCAGACGCATCCAGAACTAGGTTATGCGGAGAATTCTCGTTCTGATAGGCGTTTAAATCAAGGAGAAATTTAAGGAAGGGGCAGTGTGCAGTATTTCCTTCTCTCACAATTCTGGCATCGTCTGCAAGACTTTTGGTCTTTCTCTTCCATTTCTGGTCTCACTCCTTCTACTACCACTTTCACCATATCATGTACTTTCTTATTTACTCTCCTTGATACCCGTAATTCATAATCTAATATCGATTGGAATCAAATTCATCCAGTCAGAAACTATTTGAGTTTGCGTCAATTTTGTTATTACATGCCAGTGCCCGGGCTTCAGTCAAGTTCAATCCAACAGGGGTAGTACGAATTAAGCAGGTCATCCAGTAGCGTGGGTAAACCAATTGATTAAAAAAAACCGTGACCATGATTGCCTCGAGTTATGTTACAAACTTAATTAGAGTATCGGAAAGAAAGAAGTCCAAAACAATTAAGAATAAAAAAAAAGGCGAAAAACTTCGACCCTACATTCATATTCCCTCTCCATCCGAAAACGCCAGGCAGGAAAAAAAAGAAGGAGAAAAGGCCATAGAAATTTCTAAGCCCTAGATCCAGGCAAAATCAACGAAACTAAGCAAGGAGATGACCATATCCCTTGGAATGATCCCCAGTGACACTTGAATGAAGCGCCACATAATCCTCCCAGCCCCTTCACTCAACATCTTCCTCCTCCTTGCTAGCCGCCAGGAAGTAGCGGCCCTTCGGCTTACCAGGCTCATCATACTCGACAGTCAAGCGAGACAGGTGACCGAGCAGATTCTCAATCTTGATTTCGCCCTTGCTACGCTTAACGCGCCCAAGATCATCCAGCCACTTGATCTTGTTGAGAATGTAGTAGACGAGTGCGATAACTATTTCCACGCCAAGGCTGTAACCCCAGACTCGAACAACAGTCACGATATCGGTCCAACCGTTAATTGTCTCGACAAACTTATCCGGGGGATTAGTTTTCATATCCTGATTCGTAAACCAGCCGAACAAGCAGAAAATCGTCGCAAGAGCGTCGACTCCGAGAATCGCGGTTACCAGCTGAAACGACGGCCAGGTGTCACTACCACGTGTGACGAATATGAGCCAGTTCTCCGTGAGCGCGACCTCTAGGAAAAGCACTTCTTGAATCGAACCCCAGTTTTGGATGATGCCGCCGCTAGGTAGAAACATACTACCACGCACCACCCACGTACCCAGGGCAAGGAGGATGCCCAGAAGCACGGATATGAACCAGATTTTCGGAAGTTGCCATTCCACAGGGCGTAGCTCAAACGATGCATTGTCGTAGGCCACGGCCACAGTTGCCAAGTCGGCAAAAAGAGCCAAGAAAACGATCAATTCGACTCGAATGCTTTCATTGAGAATAATCATTGCTGTCACAAGGTATATCTCAAGGTGCAGGCAAAGAGCAATACGATACTGGATGTATGCTTTCATGCGGTGGAAGATCTGACGCGCAACCTTGATCGAGTCGATAATAGTCGACAAGCCAGGTTCAAGAAACACAATGTCAGATGCAGATTGTGCGGCTTCAGATGCACCTTCCACAGCTATTCCACAATCGGCTTTTTTCAGCGACGGCGCATCGTTTACGCCATCACCTGTCATTGCCGTTAGATGCCCACGTTCCTGAAGCATTTGGACCACTTGATATTTGTGTTCAGGGAAGACTTCTGCAAACCCGTCGGCTTTTACGACCAGATCGCTTGCCATTGCGCCACTGAGGCCACCATGGATGAGCTTATCAGAATTATAAACTTTGGTACCGAGTGCTAGCATTTTGCAAGTTTCCTTTGCAATAGCAATAGCGTCACCGGTCAGCATTTTTACACTGATTCCGAGATTCTGGGCTTCGCTGATTGTCTGGGCCGTATCTTCACGAGGCGGATCGAACATAGGCAGCATTCCGAGCAAAGTCCAGTCCTCACCCTCTTTCTGAACAGCAACACCGAGAGAGCGGAAGCCTCGGTGGGCGAACTCCTGTGCCTTGGCCTTGTACAGATCTGCAACTTCCTTCGAGCAGTTGGTTAGCTGAAGAACTGCTTTAGGAGCGCCCTTTGTGCAAGTGTAGCGGGTTCCATCACAGCTGGCGACTGTAACGATTCGCTTTGACACTGGATCAAATGGCGTGAACTTTTCAGTCGTCCATCCGCGACGCAAAATTTCACGAGCTCGAGGATATTGTCGCAGTGTCAATACCGTCACTTTGTCAATTGGGTCCAATGATTCAGTGTTGTGCGAAGATGCTAGAGCCGCGACGGCAAACATCCAGTCGACGTCTACACCCTCAGCCACATAGGGATCTCGAATACTCAGCTTATTGGCAGTGAGAGTACCAGTCTTGTCAGAACAGAGGATATCAACACCCTAGTCGTGGTTAGTATTGATCGCATGATCTGAATTCGGTGGACATCTGTTTGGGGCAGCACTTACCGCAAGCGATTCGATGGCGGTTAGCTTTTGGACGATTGCCTTTTTCTTCGCAAGATACGCGGCACCGACAGCCATAGTCGTAGTGGTAACGACTGGAAGACCGACAGGCACACCGATAATGAGCAATGACAAGGTGTAGTGAAGTAGAGTCTGCTGTCCCGGGGAGGCAATGGGGATATGGCGGAAGAAACCACCAATCCAGGCGGCGAGGATCCACGCCATCACGAGAACCAAGAGCGATGTTCCAATATTGTCCATGACAAGCTCAAAGTGACCAGCACCCTTTGCAGATTGGACCATACTAGCGGTGCGACCAACGAATGATGTCTTCGCCGGGGCCTGAACAACAGCATATGATTTGCCTCGCTTACACCCGGTCGTGTAGTAGATCACATCGCCCATGTAGCGGTCGACGGCCAAAGACTCTCCGGTGATCGCAGAGTGATCGCAAGCAAGGATGGGATATCCGCGCTTTCGAGTCTTGGGCTGTGGGGATCCCTCACCATCTTCGCCCTTTTTAGTGGCGTCGGTAGCGTCAGTAGCGTCGGCATTGTCCACAGGCTGGGAAGTTTGCACTTCCTTATTCTGCTCATCCTCATCCTCGGTCTCGGATCCACCACCGAGCATGCCTTGCTCTTGAAGTTGATTGAACTCTTCCCAACCGTTGGGATCTTTGAAATCACAGATGACTTTGGCGTCGGCCGGAACCACTTGGCCTTCGCCGATGATGATCTAGATGATTCGTAAGCCGTTGGCACAGTCGCAAATGGGGGTTCACTATCATTGGATTTACTTACCACGTCCCCAGGAACCAGTTCACGAGCCAGAACTTCTTGCTGGGTGCTGTCCCGGATGACAATAGCACGCATGGCAATATCCCCTTTGAGACTGGCGACTACATCGGCAGCTTGCTTTTCCTGGTACCAGCCGACAGCTGCGTTCAGACAAAGGATACCGATGATCACACCGAAATCAACCCAGTCCTCTAGACCGGCAGCTAGCAAGACAGCCAGCTCCATTACTATTCACAACGGGGTTAGTACTGATTGATACCAAGTGGGACAAGCTTTGAGGTAAACTCACCGTAAAGAATGGGACCTTGGAAGTACGAGAGGATCTTGGCAATGGGGTTCTCTTTCTCGGAGACGAGCTCGTTCCAGCCCGAACGGCGACGACGAGTGTTGACTTCCTCGCTCGATAGACCCTCGCGAATATCGGTGATGAGCCAGTCATCGGGAAAAGCTGGAGCTTTGCTGTCCACCTTTCGAACGTGCACCTTTTTTTCTTCCATGGGGCATACCAGAGGCGTTTTTCCTCAACATCGGCATCTTCGGCGGCGATGGCGCTGGCATCTTTGTATGTCGACACATACTTAACAAGCTTTCCATACTCGTCCAGCGTAGCCCAGTCTTCCTTCAAGGAAGCGCGTGAGATACGAGAGCCACGGCGCCCGTCAGCACGTTCGGCATCACCCTGGCTCGCCATCCTGGCAAGAGGGTTTACCTTTTCACGAGAAGCTCAAAAATGGCGATGAGGCGGATGAGGGGAGATGTTTGCTGTATAAGCGGAGAGAAAGAAGTAGGGCCCCAAAGAGAGGGATGAGGGATGAGGGATGAGAGGGAGTGCGGGAGGAAGAAGAGGAAGAGAAGCAAAAGAAGAGGGCGTGTTTGTAAACAGCGAAGGAGATGACGTCCTTGCCGAATGTGCACCACTGAGCAAACTACAACTGCAATTGCAACAAAAAAGAACAACAATTGGTCTTCTTTACACACTACCGTGAGAAAAATTCAGAAAAATTCACACAGTTTCCCCCGCTCCTTCTTCAGTCACTCATGCTGACGTCGATTCTAGGAAGCCTTCGGCACTACATCATACTATGATACCATTCTTCCCCTCGGATTTAAGGTACCAACTCAATTCAGCCACCATTGACCGATATTGACCCATGAGACGACTGGTCTACCCAGATGAACCTTCTCAAGATCGGGCCGTTGCTCAAAACCATGGTCATGGAAAGGGCCCAGCCAGTACAATTACCGAGATGGGTCTTTATCCATGGATACACGCGAGGTTTCCATCATTCCGTCAAGCAAGCTGCAGTGGAATAGTGTTCACAGAGAGAGGGAGTGAGAGAGAGAGTTGAAAAAGAACAAATCCAAATACTGTTGCAACTTTGTTATATCTATATCTACGAGTGGAGTCGTGCGGGGATCGTCATTTAGCGTCACCGTCTGCACCCCATCATTGGCCCGTTTTTTCCAAGCCTTCTGACAGCTCGGCCACACATACATCCAGAATCTCACGGTATCTCTGGCTCGCTAGGTTAGCGTACCATCGCGGATGGGGTATTGTTGACTGTCCCGAACCTCAATGTCCACCCGACGTCATGTGCCGATAGACTCCGCTGAATGCCGGTCACCACGATGACCCCATGACCGGAAGCTTGGTTTTTCAGAGGCTCGTCATGAACAGGGTACTGGCCGGGGCGGTATTTATAGAGAATGTGGTCCGAAACGTGATTATATCCATGGATTAATACACCTACTAGGCAGTTGAGATACCTAGCTAAAAAGCAGAACACCATAGAGCTGTTAAATAGGCATCACTATGAGTGGAATACTAACACAATAGTTACTACTATTATAACTTGCCAGTGTTAAAATCTTGGTTCTCCCTTGCAGCACGGATTGCCTTGTTGTAATATAGACACCTTTTTGGTTTGCTGACCTCTAGGCCTTTCACGCCTTGCTTTGTTCTACAAACTCTCTGGGACTTGGAAAACGTCCATCCATAAAATAATTCTTCAGTGTTACCTCCTACGCAGGTAGGTATTACTCTGCTCAACCTCAAAGCTAGATTTAGGCCCATTTACGCCACTGGAACCCTTTTACAAATAATAATATACCCTAACTATGTGGAGAGCACTCAGTATTGCGAAGTCAAAAAGCTAAATTCAGCAGCGATGCACTCTCTTTTGATGATATAAGTAACCTAGGAGCCAATTCAGTGACTAGCTTATGATTCAAGCTTCTCGATTACCACCACCCGACCCCGACTGACCTGCGTGTCTTTCCGTTTGAGAAGTGTCGGGTTGTTGCCTACCGCACCATTCACTACCTACACTCTGATTTCGATCTTCTTCTCTTCATCCCAATTTTATGATCCACCTACAAAATTAAACTCGAAAACCTCATCCACCTTGAATTCGTCTCATTATGACTGCCGCCAGGATGGCTCCAGCATTCGACAGCAGCCACCTGCTAGAAATATTCCTTCAAGGGACTCACTCGGGCATGAAGATCACCTGTGGGGATTTTACTTTCAATATGCACCGGGCTATCGTCTGCCCTCAATCCTCCTTTTTCGAAGCTGCTATGCGCGGTGGATTCAAAGTAAGAACATTTTCATTTTATTTACCACAGACCGGGGGTTGAAAAAGGAGCCAATCAGCGGCGTCATTGACCTACCTGACGACGATTAAATGCGCGTCCTCTCTTTTCTCTATGTCCAGAATTACAAAGAGACCGGTCATATTGTGGACCTCAAGCTTGAAACGACTGCAACAGACACCTCACAGGACACATTGTCACTTGCCCCCTTGGAAGTCCTGAACAACATCGACGTCTACATTGCAGCCGACAAGTTTGGAATTCCCAGCTTGAAAAGGTACTCAGGGGCAAAAATAAGGAACTGGTTGAGAGCACATGCCGGCATGAAGTCCAGCGGACTCATGACCGTAGCGAACAAGATCCTGGACTGTGGCCCTTCGTAAACAATCAACCCTACTCTCGAAGACTATCTTGTCGGAGCAATCTCGGAGAGTCTTGGAAAATCCCTGGTGGATCGGGAAATCAGCAATGATTTCAGTTCTTTGATTCGGAAATCTGGGCCCCTCGGCGCAGCACTTGTGAAGAAGATGCAGTCCACCAACAAGCAATTCACCACCAATATCGAGCGGATGACTGCTGATAACAAGCGTATCATCGCTAAATTTAGGGCGGAAGAATTGAGACCGAGACCGAGACCGAGATTGACGATAGTAGAATTCAAATTTTCTAGCCATTCTAGTGGCTAGTCTAGGAATCAATATTATGGCCAATTCAAACATTTAATTTATTCACATAAATATATTCATAGATTGTATTTTTTCCTCCAATAGATTGGCTCTTACGTTGTTCTACAAAAACCTTCGTTCTTGTTTTGCTGATCCCGAGGCTTTTACCAATGTTGAAGCACAAATTATTTTGCACTAAAAATAGTTTAGATACAATATTCCAGCGATAAATATACCATTTTTTGAGAGAGGGGGGAAAATTCATCATGGTATACATAATTACTAGCAATGTGAGTCTAGGGAGCGTATACCAAGCACTTGTGGTGGTGGTATTATTTTACATCCGGCAGGCAGGGGCAATAACCCCCCGTTTGAGGCCTCCCTAGGGACATGCAGACTTGTTAAACTAAGGACTTATTTAACTAAAGACAATTAAAGCACTTTAGAAAGCTGCTCAAGCAAAAATATGTGGCCCATGCAGCCAGTTGGCAACAACGCCACCGACCTATAAGTGATTTTCGCCATAGTTCCCAAGTAATTAGTATTAAGGCTGACCATCATGGAGAAATGATTCGGACAACCTTTCCCTTCAAATAACAACCTTTAAGTATTCTCCTCTATCTATTACCCACCACCTCCAGTGGCCGTGCCAGACGCGCACTAGCTGGAATCCTTCTCATGTTGCCCTGTTTCACTACAAGGTACTAGTATCTCTGCCCAAATCTCAAACCCAAGTCTAAACTTATATACACCGGTAGAACTCTTTTATAGATATTCATGCCAATTTACCGATTACATCTTACTCAAGTAAAGTTGTCCTAACAGAAAATAGGAAATAAATTGGTCCAGTAATTGTGGCCTCCTGCTCGGGAAGATGGGCATATCTACCTACTCAGCCCTCCAACCTTCTCTTCATCTCACTTCATTTTCTTCTTCCTACACACCTGGACAGGTGATCTTCTTACCTTATTCTCTTCACCTGACTTCCATTCTTCTTCAACCTTGAAAGTTCCTACACAATATTATTCCTTCCTTCACTTCCCGATTCAGATCTCTTTAAAAAAGATGGCTTCAACAGCTGAGAGCAGCCACATGCTACGCATGTTTCTTTCTGGCAAATATTCCGACATGAAGGTCAAATTTGGCAGGGTCACATTCGATGTTCATCGCATCGTTTTGTGTTCTCAGTCTCAAATTTGAGGCCGCAATGAGCAGCGGATTCAAGGTATGAGCTGTCCAGCTATTCATCCGATTGAAAGACTGACAACTGATCTACGATGCTTGTGAAAGAATCCTCAAGTTGCGTTATTGACTTGCCTGACGATGACCCGGAATGCATTGAGCGCGTTCTCGCTTTTCTTTACACCCAAGACTACAGCGAAGCCGGCCACACTATGAATCTCAAGGCTGAAGCAGCTTCGGACACAAGAGGTTCGTCTAAACGGAAGCCAACTTCACCGACTGAGGCTCCACGCAAGCGGAGACCAGCCCCATTTGATACAGATGGTCTGACGGACACCCCGGGAACAGTGGCGGATGAAAGCAGCTCGAACCTATTTGCGAATCTGCCTGCGATCAATCTATCTAAAAGCGCCAAACTCGAAAGCAGCCCGCTTGAAAAGGTCTCAGTTGAGGATGGGGTCATATTCAACAATATCGACGTTTATATTGCGGCTGATAAATTTGGAATCGACAAATTGTATGCTCTGGCAGCATCCCGGATCTGCGAATGGCTGAGTGCAAATTTCACACCCGAAGGCTTTCTCGATGCGGCACAAAAAGTCATGAGCTCGACTCCAAATGATCCAACGCTCACAGATCATCTTGACCAACTGATAACCGAACATCTGTCCTTCTTCAAGAAGAACGAAGAGTTCTTTTCATTCCTTGATGAGTTTGGAAGACTGGGCTCAAGGATCATCGCGAGGATGCTCGAGATCAACCGGGAGCTGGTTGCTTGCCTTAGTTTATGGAATTCTGCGAAGGTGAGCCTCGAGCAGGGAAGATATTGCATTAAATGCCGCAATTGGCTCAATGGGATCATTGATATTGATGATGATCAGATCGTGGTGAAATGTCGTTCTTGCAAAGCTATCAATTAGTGATGCAGGACAAGGGGGGCTGGCTCTGGAGATGTCTCAAAAATATGGCCATGATCTGTCATCTTCATTCCAATTTAGTTGCCAGTTCGGCTATCAACTTGAATTCCACATTTATTTTACTGAAGCGACGCATTCTCAGAATGTATCAGTAGGTAAAATACCCTGCGCGTATATTGACACGCTTACAATAGTATAAGTTTGATCGCAAGTGTACAGGCCTTCATTTTAATTCACATAACTATATTCAATTTTCTCGTTCACATCACATATAAGCCATCACCCACCACTTATTTTTGCTTACCAGTGGGGATGTTGAAGAACACAGCCGGAACACCAGGGGCAGCAGCCCGGTCAACGCGGTAGTAGCCCTTGCGGTCAAACTGGATGATATCACCAACCTTGAGCTGGGAGACATTGCCATCGGCGACAGCACTATCCCGGAACTCAGTGTTGTAGTTGAGAACGTCCTCAAGCTTGTCCTCCTCGGTCAGAGAGTCCTTGTTCAGCAGGTAGTCGAAATCGACCAGCTCAACAGGGATCAGCTCCTGCCCCTCGGTGGCGAGCCAAGTAACCTTCTTCTCGGTCTTCTTGACATCACCGCCGGGGTTCAGCTCGAGGTCGAGGCCGGTGACAACGCCATCGGCGCCGGTGGTAATCTTACGGACGAAAGCGTTGCCCCAGTTCATGAGGGTGATCTCCTCGTCCTGCTTGAAGAGCTTGACGTCCTCCTGCTCAAGAAGGACGTTGGCGCTGAAAGCGACGGTCTTCATTCCGACGGCGGCGTTCTTGGCGTGCTTGGCCTTCTCCTCGGTGTAAGGAGCAGCAGGGCCGTTGGTGAGAGTGGCCTTGATGACATCCTTGCTAGCAATAGCAGTGTGACGGGGGGGCAACAGGGTCAATGTACTTCTTGTTGGTAGCCCAGACTGTGGCTCGTTACTATACGTATACTTTGGAATACTTTGGAGTAGGAATATGACTTACTAAGAGCCCAGTCGAAGAGAGTGACGGCCTTGGAGGGACCCTGCTTCAGGATGAACTCCCGGAGGGCAGGAATGGTCATACCGCGACGTCTGATACCGCGAATAGTGGGGAAGCGAGGGTCGTCCCAGCCCCAGACAACTCCGCTCTCAACCAACTTGGTCAGCTTACGCTTAAGAGAGGAGGGTGCGAATGAAGTTCATGCGAGCAAAGTCCCAGACCTGGACACCGCGCAGGCTAAGGGTATCGAGCATCCACTGGTACTGGGGGTTGCGGTCACGGTACTCGCTAACAGGAAAATTAGCTTTGCAATAATATACTGCGAAGTATAGGGTATGCTCACATGGTACGCAGGGCGTGAGTGACTCCCTCCATCGAATCGACGACAGGGCAGGCAAAGTCGTAGGTGGGGTAGATCTTCCACTTGGTACCAGTGCGGTGGTGGGGAGCTGGGTTGCAGCGGTAGATGACGGGGTCACGAAGGGCCTTTGGAGTGTTAGTGTGTTGTCAAACATTTTTGATAGAGGGAAATGTACCTTGTTCTTGTCATCGGCGGAGATCTTGGCACGAATGCACCAGCGGAGACCCTCGGGAGTACCCATCTTCATCTCCTCAAAGTGGGCCAAACTCTCCTCGGGGGGTAAGCTCACGACGCGCGCTAGGAATACCATCCCAACGTTGTTTCTGCATGGTCTCCTTGTCGGTATCATCGGCATAGGCCTTGCCCAGCTTGATGATCTCGATACCGTAGGCATAAAGCTCATCAAAGTAGTCACTGGTGTAGGAAGTTTTGTTGGGTTTGATACCCTATTTTTGTTAGCAAATAAATACGATAGGAAACATTTTGTGGGCGTCAAATAAACATGGATAACATACCATCAGAGCAAGATCCTCCATGATAGCATCTTGGAACTCTTCCTTCTCGTTGGAGGGGTTGGTGTCATCGAAACGCAGCAGAAGAGTGCCGTTGTACTTCTCGTGAGCGAAGTAGTCGTTGAGAAGAGCAGCCTTGGCGTGTCCAATGTGCAGATATCCAGAGGGCTCAGGAGGGAAGCGAGTGACAACACCGCCGTCGGTGTTCTTCAGAGCAATGTCGTAGCTGGCACCCTCCTTAGACTTCGCGGACTTCTTCTCCTTCGCGGCAGCGGTCAGGGAGTCAATGGCGGTAAGAGTCCAGGGGCAGAGCTCCTCCAGGAATCGGTACCAGCGGGTGAGGTTGACAAGCGTACCCTTCTTCAGAGCAGCAACGGCAACACGGTTACCGCGGAGGGCACCCCACAGAGCGATATCCGGGGTCGAAAGGGAGTATCCGACGACGAATGAGCGGAGGAGGAGGTGGGTGTCAAGGCGCTGGAGGACAGGGTCGAGGGCCTTGAAATCCAGGGTAGTGAAAGAGTCAAGCTGAGAGATCCATTCGGTCTCCTAGAGAAACATTGATATTAGATCAACCGAAGTAGATGTATGGCGGGGTTGTGGAACTCACGAGCTTGGTGTCTTTGCCCGCAAGGAAGGGGAAGGCAGTGCAAAGCTCGTTGACGGCATTCAGGGTTCCGAATACAGACTTTCCACCGGTAGTGAGCTGGACAATGGCCTTGTCGCCCTCGCTGAGAACTGCGGTATCCTCATACTTGATTTGGATGGCCGGGGCAGGACGAGCCTCGTTCAAAGAGGTCGCAATCAGCACCACGGGAAGAATTGCGGCATGGTTGCCACGAGTGGCCACAGTCAGATCGAATTGGGTCATTGTGCAGTGATTTTGTTCACTTTGCGCACAACAGAAAAGATGATCAACGATCTGAACTAAGAATTTGGAGGGGCAGCGGAGTCATATCGGCGAGTCATATCGGGATGGTCGGCCCTACACTTTCTCCGGGCGCCGAGAGCTCCGTCAGAAACCTCGACAATTCCGCTCCGCTGGGATCTACACATCAAACACCAAGCCATGTCGTCCCTCGGCGTCGCAATGCCCACTGCGGCACGCGGCATTCTCTCATCATGCCGTCCATCACTTCGGGAAACTTCAATGACCCCTGCTTTTTCGATCCTCCAACAAGCCCGAGGTATGGGAAGCAACCCGCAAAAGAACAAGAGCAAGGGGAAGGGTAAGGGTAAGAACGCCGCGGCGCCCAAGACTTCTCGCCGAGGACCTCTCGAATTCCGACAGAAGAGCTTGAAGGATATGGAGCAGTATACCCTGTGTGATGCTATGCGGTGAGTTTGCAATTGATCGTCGCAAGAGAGTCGTGACATCTTACCGTTTCTGTTTCTCTGATATTTATTCTCTATAACAGCTATCTCCGAGCCATGGAAGTCGGCCGCAACCCAACTGTCATCAAATATGAGGCACACATTCGCCTACGCACAAGGAAAGATGGCCCCGTCATCCGAAACATGATCCGATTTCCTCACGCCGTCCAAACCGAATCCCGAATTTGCGTCATCTGTCCCCCCGATTCAAAGCACGCGAAGGATGCGCTCGCCGCCGGTGCCATCCTGGTGGGTGAAACCGATGTTTTTGAGGCTGTGAAGGCCGGTCGAATCGAGTTCGACCGATGCCTGGCTCACCCGGACAGTGTGCCGGCTCTCAACAAGGCTGGCTTGGGTCGAATTCTCGGTCCTCGCGGCCTCATGCCCAGCGCCAAGGCCGGTACTGTCGTTGAGGATGTTGCTTCCCGTGTTGAGGATCTTCGTGGTGGTACCGTCTACCGTGAGCGTGATGCTGTCATTCGTCTTCCAATCGGCCAGCTGGGTTTCTCTCCGGAACAATTGCGCGACAACTTGCGGACAACGATTGATCAGATCAAGAAGGATGCATCTGGTCTCAACGACCGTATTAGCAAGGAGATTTACGAAATTGTGAGTGGTCAAGAGGTTCCTTTTTTTTTAAAAAAAAAAACAACCCGCTAATCCGTCAATCAGGTTCTGAGCTCCTCCCACGGCACCGGCTTCAGTCTTAACGGAGAGTTTAAGACTGACGACTCCCCCGAAACCTCTGCCTTGACCGGCGTGTAAATTACTTATTTTTTCTCATATTCTACTGGCGTGTACAGATCTTGTTTTATTAGGAAAGGACATGGTGTATCATGGTATCATATCTGTTCAATAGAGACTCCCACAAACCTGAACGCCGACGCTATGCATTTCCAGCCCGTTAATGACGCTGGGGCGATCTATACTTTCAGATTCTTAAGTGCTAGAATTGCACTCACATCCTCGCCCATGAAATCGTAGAGACGCAAGACTGCCATGGTTCTTGCGTCACGCTTGGCACCAGCATGACTAGCTTGTTCCAGCGCAGTCTTCAGGTCCAGCAGCACAGTTGACTTGATCTTGCCCACACGTGGTTGCTGAGCAAGCAGAAACGGATGACTTTCGCCAACTCGGGTGGCTATCGACGTCAAGAACACATACTTCTGTACATGACGCTGGAGCCGTTTCAATGATACAGGTGCGGCCCCGTCCCCAAGCTCCTCCTCATCACTGTCATCACTATCGGTTCCGTAAACATCGGACTCGGAATCGGAACCATCATCCTCTGTAATGTCCCGCGCAGTAGATTCATTTTTGATCATCAATCGGTATTCCAACTCTTCGACCCGGTCCGCATAGTCAAGGAGGTCTTTGCCGATGTCTGCATGCGTGCGGAGCTGTCGCTTCTGGTTCAATAGTCCCTCTACCTCCCGTCGGCGAGCTTCAACTTTGTCCCGAATTGACTGCACATCTCGTTGAAATGACAACAGGCCGACTTTAACGCCTTCGATTTTCTCCTCGCCGCCGCGGAGAGCTGTCCCCAGAGAGAGGAAGTCCTGATAGTTCTCGTTGACCAAGTCCAACAACTCCTTATTCAGCAATTGTTCCAAGCTCCGCAATTCTTGTCGCAAGTCCTCGAGGCTTTGATGTCGGTTTGTTAAAGAGGAGAGGAATGTAGCCGGGTCAAAATCAGGGGCGAGGAACGAGGTTCGAGAAAGTGGTTCAGGGAAAGGCAGGCCGGAGGGGTCCTCATCAAAGTCGGACCCTGACCCGTCAGAGTCGCCGCCGAACTGGAGGAAGAAGCGTTAGTTAGAAACGGTTTAGAAGAAGGTGTAAAATGAACAGAATGACCTACATTGAATCGGTTCATCATGGACGAAGTCACTCGCGGACCAAATTAAGTACAAAGATGACAAGTGAAGTTGAGTGGTGGAGTTGGCCAGCCCCGACATAGTCGAGTCTTGGCGTCTGTTTTGGGTGTCTACTTTACTCTTTCCCATTCAACTTGCCCGAGGCCGGACTTACTCTTCTTCTCTTTCCAAAAGGTTTTTAATTTTGACTTTGACTTTGTCTTGGTCTCCCAGACCTCCCACTGATTCACATTGCCAGCGCATCGGGAGTTGCACATGCACCACTTATGCCACTTGGATGCACCTCTCCTCGTGAGGGTTGTGTAGTAGACGTGTGGCGACCCTAACCCTGCAGACTCGCGACAAGATATTCGGAGCGGGGTATTCAATCTACAGTACTCTGCGCTGTACACCTTCGACTACTCCGCATTGATGCACGATGGACCCAACCTCGTTAGACTCGCTGGCCACACGCTGGGACGGTAGTCGGCTGTCCTCCTCGTCTTTCCCCCGACAAGGATGGTCCCGTCTGTCTCCGTCCTACGCGCCTCCCGCGGGCAACGCAGGCGCAAGCCCCTCTCACTACGCAAGCTGGCGGCACTTCGACTCTGCAGCTGACGACTCTGATTATCGCCTTCGCGCCACTGCTCTGCGTCAAATGAACCAAGATCTCCATCTCCACTCGTCTCGAGCTGATCGGAGTATCAGTATCCTGCCCTCTACACCTACACCTACTCAACCCGTCCTTGTAAGAGCGTATTCTGGCAATGCCGATGACACGACGAACCAGTCTTCGACCATGTCTCCTCGCCGGTTCTTCCCGTTCACGGGCTCGAAGACTTCGGCTTCCTCCCGTCCGTCGGGGCCGCCGCTCCCGGCTGTCCAGGATTTCAGTATCGAGAGTATACTGCAGGCCATCGAGCCCGATATCCGCGGTACACTGGACTCGATCGCCGAGATCTGTGGACGCAGCAAGCTAAGCCTGGCCAATGAATATGAAAGTCATATTGCGCCCTTGGGGGAGATTCGGGCTCCGCAAGTTGGTTTAGGGCCGGTGGAGGAAGCCAGTTCGAATGATGAACGGCGTGCCGATGAGGGGGTGGTCATATTTGACGATGATCCTAACATGATGAATGCGGGCCAGGAGATTCATCCATTCTCTTTTTACCGGTACTTGGAAAGTCTTCGGCAGGCTGCGTCTGCGCGAGAGCGCAGTGGTGCCTCGGGTTTAGATCTGTCAACGCGGACACAGAGACAACAGCTTCCGATGCAGCCGGAGGCAGCTCGAGCCATAGATGCTCACATTCCGACGGCCACTCGTGAGTTTGTTTCTAGACCTCAAACTGGCCGAGATCTACTAGCAAAGACCACCACTGCCAAACATGATGGCAGCCACTCAGCCGACGTCACCACCCCTGCTGTAGTCTCAGAAGCACATGTTGATGCACAGGCAGCCGGTATAGAGACTCCGAATGGACCACAACCCCCCTTATCTGGCCGCCCTAACCCTCCCTACATTACAGCACCAAAGACATGGTATGCGCCAGAGGCAGTTCGCTCTGTACTTAGCTGGTTGAAGTGGACTGCACATCTAGCTGAGCCGGAGTCTCGCCCGGCCCTGCAGTCCGCGGAGAGTCGACTACGAGCCATGCTCGCACGATCCCTTGATGAGACTGCCATTTGACAAACAACCAAGAACCAGCCCTATATTTGACAAGCTAAGTCATTCACATATAACGACTCATGAACTATAATGATTTACGACCGCGTGATGCCCCTCAACGAACCTCCATATTATATGCTTATAAATAATCTACAATATGGACTCACCTCCAAATCAAGAATACTCACCTATTTCTCGAGCGATGTTGTCTTTTATCATAGTGAACTCTGAAATTGAATCATATGGAAGCCTTTTCCGAGCTATGCAACGCCCTAAACAATGCTATGTAATGATATATCCGGGTATCGATGAAGAAGAACCCCAATAGCTTCCTCTCAAGCCGGTCCAATTTTCAAGCTTAAGCCACCGCCCCATTCGTCCCCTGCGCACATCCAACAATAGTCTTCGCGAATTCTTCGAACCGCGGATAAGACCATCCATCTTTATATTGCTCGACAAGAGGGCGAAGATCCGGCTCAGCAGGAGGCTGCACTTCTTGCGCCGAGTCTTCATCTTCATCCTCATCATCACTAGCAGTTTCCATCTTCCCTTCAACAAGCTCACCAAATTTAACATCCACCGGCACTTTACCCAGGAACGGGATGCCCAATTGCTGCGCCATAACCTCGCCACCGCCGCTGGAGAAGAGATTGCTCACCTCTCCACAGCAAGGACACGCATACCCGGACATATTTTCAATCACTCCCAACACAGGTATACTCGTCTTAACGCAGAAGTTCGCTTCCTTGCGCACATCCGACGTCGCAACGGCCTGTGGAGTCGTCACGAGCACCGCACCCGTTAACCGGGGAATATTATTCTGCGCTGCGAGGTTCGCGTCCGCCGTCGAGAGGGTGAGGAGTTGTTCCGCTAGCGCGATATGCTCGTCACTGGTACCGGGCGGCGTATCGATGAGTAGGTAATCCGTTGAGCCCCATGCCACATCCGAGAGAAACTGGCGGATCATGGCTGTCTTCTTGGGTCCGCGCCAGATGACAGCGTCGCCCCGATCGCGGAGGAGAAAGCCGAGGGACATGCAGCGGAGCGAACCGCGGGGCGAGGGTGAGGGTGTTGAAGATGATGCGCCTTCTGCTGTAGGTTGTGGGATGGTAGCATCGTGAACGGAGACGGGAAGCCACCCAGCTGGAGATTGTGTGATCTTTTCTCCTTCGAGACCGACTAGTCGTGGGATTGAGGGTCCTGTCAGGTCGATGTCGAGAATGCCGACGGATTTGCCTTGGAGGGAGAGCGCCAGTGCAAGTTGGAGGGTTACGGAGGATTTACCCACGCCTCCCTTGCCGGAGAGGACCTGCGACAAAGGTTAGTTAGCTTTATTTTTGCAATTTTTATCGAGTCAAGCTTTGCTCTATCTCATCCACTGCTTTCAAGATCCCATCTTTTGCGCTCATCGTTATCGATAAGCTGTTGGTGAGGGGCAAAGTCTGCGGTGGCGGAGGTGTAGGGCTCAGAAAGCTCCGGGTGGTGGGCGCATTGCTCTTGCTGTAGACTTACCAGTACAATATTCTTCACCCCGTCTAGAGGCATAGCTGTACAGTTAATTGTTGTTGGTGAAGAATGAAAGAGAAGGTAGCAAGGGCAGGTTTCAAGGTGGGGATTGAAGCCGATGTTCGGGATGCTTATCAATCGTCCTCTGACTAAAACGAGGGTTGCGGTTGGATCCGATGGATGCTTCTACAAGGTCGGGTCATCAGTTCTGCTAGGTGGTAGATTTCTTTTTTTTTTTTAATTCATGTATGAGTAAGGTCTACTTAGCCCGAATGTAGCTCACTTTTTTTCCTTGTGAGTACTGCATGTATCATTAAACGTCTCTGTAGGAGTCTACACCGAGGAACAAAGAATTCGAATGCTCGTGTTTGACAAGTGGTCTCCCAACTCCCGTGGGACATAGGAGGGGGAAATAAAGCCTTCCAAGTAACAATAGCTTTTAGGTCCACTTCTGGACAAGCACTCCTCCACGCTTGAATTCGGGGAGATCACCAAGAGTGACATCCCGGTCCGTGAGCTCCTTGCTAGGGAAAGTGGTCATCAATACCCATTGGCGGCTCTGGCTATCCGGAGATGCGGCCGTGACGAATGCATAAACGTCACCAATTGTTGCGGTGGTGTTGAATCGGGACGTCAAACGTGTTCCGTCACCAAGGCGGATCTGGAGAGTGACCGTGGGCTGTGATTCATCCACCTCGGGCTTAGGTGGACCACTTGGCTGGGCAGGAGCGGCGGGAGGTGTAGGTTGCTGGCCCTGAATACCAGGCGTAGGACTGCCCAGGCGCTGTCCAGATCCAGAGAAAGCCTTGTATTGGGGCTTAGGCTTGGTGTACTTTTCCTCATGCTGCTTCAACTCAACATCCACCTCCTGTCCCGCTTGAACATTCATAATGGTCAGCGGGGCACGACCCTGTCGAATACCCTCCAAAATTTCGGCGTTGCGAGGATCATCAGATCGGTAGAGTTCGCCATCGTCCACTGAGAATCCGTCGGCCCAGAAGTGGAGAGTGCGCTGTACGCGCTGAGCGCGCTGGGGAGTAGGGGCAGATGGGTCGGCAATCACCCGACTTGGAGCATCGTCGCCGCCGAGAGTGCGCGCAGCGCCAGTGAAGAATGATTGGCGAGAGGGAGCGTCGTCTGAGGGTGGGGGTTGAGCTCTATATACTCATGTATTAGTATCCAATTCCAGACATCACTGCGGAGATATCAGCAAGCTTACTTCCGAGCCTTCTCGAGAATCTTCCTCTTGAGGTCATCTGGGTTCTGAACTGCCAATCCAGACTTCTCTCCTCCGGCGAAGAAATCCTGGTCCTCCGATCCATCGTCATCCGACGAGTCGTGAGTGTCTCCTCCCGAGAAGTCACCCAGAGTCGCAAACTTCTTTTTGGGCGCTGAGCGGCGCGCAGATGACGAGGCTTCCGGGGCAGCAGAAGAGGCGGGGACAGCTCCACCACCCAGTGTTCGACCTCCTGCAGCAGCTGCAGTAGCAGCAGCAGCTTCTCCAGAACCAACTTGTTGGCCACCACCCGCGTTCATGTCCTGCAAAGCATCGTCTTGTTCAGCAAAGAACTCGGTAACTGCTGCTTCAACGTCGCCATGGTTGGTTGCAAGGTACTCTTGGGCCTGGCAAAAGAGATATAGAGGTTAAGAGCTTGTTTCGATACCTGTGGAGAGTAGTAACCTTACCTGTTCAGGCTGTGTGCCCGTCAAAGCACAGAACTGAGACACGACTTCATCGTGCTCTGCGGGGTTGTGATCCATGTTTGGAGCTTGGTCGACTATTCGGTATCAAAGATGAATGCAGTTTTTGAGAGGGACCTTTTGATAATGAGGATAGGTGGGTGTCAAGAGGACCTGATATACGCAAAGAGATGTTTTAAAGAAGACAACCAGCTTGAGCTGGATGAGCCAGCTAAACACCGCGGGCAGGTACGTCACTGCAATTGGTCAGCCGGAGCGGCTGATCTTCCGGTCGTTGCCTGAGGCGGAGTCAAGCCTATACTTCCAGGGTATTTTGTTCGCGATCTTTTGAGATTTTGTATATACTGAGGTCATAAAACATGTCATTAAGTTTCAGTTTCACCGCAAGGGCCTCTGTTGCTCTGCAAATATTTTTTACTACCTAGGTAGTCTAGACCATCACTACTAAGAACTTAACCGCTAGGATATATCTTACTTCCTCGATGCGCAGGTACTACTAGTGTAGTCTATCTGTAGACACCTTGGTCTGATCTATCCACCTGGTATGCATCGATTGTACAGACATGAGACATAAGGCATTTGTTCTTGGATCTTACAATTTGTTCAAGTGAAAATGAGTTGAGTTCTATCTATTGAAGATTCAACTAACTAGTTAGTTATACGGCACGAACCCGATGACTAAGCGAGTTCACCCCGGACCACAACTACCGCCACGGCGGATACCTGGCCCAGGGTTAACCGACTGAATCCATACCACTCGTCGTGCTCAACTCCCTCTCTCGGCCCTCGAATTCCCTCTCTTTCTCCGTGGCCATGGCCTCCAATGCTTCTGGCTCGCGAGCCGAGCTCTTCGACTCCGCCGTTACTCTCCCTCGGATTCGGAAAACTACTCGCCAAACAACGACTTGACGCAATCCGAATCCCCAAGCTCCAACTCGAGCTCGCCCATGATCCTCTACCAACCGCCTAGCGTTTGGGGTCTTCTAAGAGGTGCCGCGATCAATCTCCTTCTCCCCTTTGTGAACGGTCTCATGCTGGGGTTCGGCGAGCTTTTCGCCCACGAGGCGGCTTTCCGACTGGGATGGTCAAACACTAAGGTACGCTTTGCGGAGATGCGGTATTTCACAAATCCAATCACTAATTATCATAATCTCCTCAGATCTTCCCAAATTACCGCCGAGCACACGCCGTGGGTCCCGGGGTTGAGATTCGCGAACTTCCCTCCGAACGTCGCAGGACCTTGAACGACACTACTTCTCTGGAGTAAACGACAGACCTCCACCTCCGTACATTCTGCTTTACCATAGAGATCTATTGGAAGAAGCAGGGTATGCATTGAATTGGGAAATACAAAAAACGGTACATTTTGGAATGCGTGATACCTACTACCGTGGTCACCCCTCTCTACCTGGTGACCTTTTTTTTTTGCGTGTATATAGATTATTCAGATGGCGCCTGGCGAACTGGAATTTACCTGCTACATATGAATATAAGAAGAATTGAAGAAAGAAAAGAGTAGTTACTAGTATAGGGCACTATACTCTGTACTCTGTACATACTCCCTGCCTTTGATACCCGAGTCCAGTCGGTGTTTACCGGCGCTTGGCCGCCCGGCAGAAAAAAGTCCAACGCCGGCGCGCCGCGATTCGTGGCCGACTCTCCGCTACCCCAATCTTGTCTGGCAACTCGTCATATCTCGAAATAAAAATGATGGGAGCTGCTGGTCTGAAAGGGCCCAGTACAGCGGCCGCGTTTGCGCGCCAACGGCTTACTGCGGTTCCTCGATCTACACGATCGGTTGGTCTCATTCCTCTCATGTCATGCCAGGACCGGAAGAGCAGCAAGACTGACTGATTCCCTGCATAGGTATCGACTTTCCGATCGCAACACTCACGGCTCGCAGGCCTTCGGGGCCAATTGAACTCCGGTCTCTCTGCTAGTGCCCCATGGCGCGCTGCTTCAGTTGTGGCTGGCCCGGCTGCGATTCGTTTCAATTCGACTTCCTCAACCCCGGCATCTGATCCGGCCCCGGCCACGAGTGTGTCAGATGGACTTCCCGAGGCTAGTGACCTTGCGGAATTCGATATTTCGAAAATCCCTGAGAATATCGGATACTTGAAAGAACTTGGACTGGACTTCGGTTGGGGCCCTGCCGCCATGATCGAGTGGTTAATCGAGCATTTACACATTACCGCCAGTTTGCCATGGTGGGCCAGTATCGTCGGCGCGGGTCTCGTCGTCCGTCTCGCTCTGCTGAAGCCGATGCTTACTGCCTCAGACCAAGGGGCCAAGATTCAAAACCTGAAGCCTAAGACTGAACCCATCCGCCAGCAGATGATGCAGGCCCTGAAAGACTCAAACCAAATTGAAACACAACGGAAGAGAGCTGAATTGTCAGCACTAAATAAGGAGAATGGTATCAACCCCTGGAAGAACTTGATTCCAATGCTGCAAATTCCCATTGGTTTCGGTACCTTCCGAGTTGTTCGTGGCATGGCTTCGCTCCCCGTCCCAGGAATGCTGGACGAATCTATTCTCTGGATTAACGATTTGACAATTTCCGACCCTTACTACCTTCTGCCTGTCGTGACCTCGGCATTTATGTATATGACTTTGAAGGTTAGTCCCCCCCCCCCTCACACCCAAGTCGGCGATATAACCTAGCTAACTTTGACCAATACAGCGAGGTGGTGAGTCTGGAATGGGTGATTTTATGAACAGCGCTGCTGGAAAATCAATGGCGATTGGTTTACCGACAATCTCCTTCCTCTTCATGGCATTCATGCCCAGTGCACTTCAGCTTTACTTCGTGGCTACCGGTGCCTTCGCACTGGGCCAGTCCTACATGGTCACCTCCAACAAATTCCGCAACATGCTGGGTATGACGGTTGCCAGAAAAGTAGCTCCGGATAACTCCATCTCGGACGCGCAGGATTATCTTGCAAAATTGCAGAAGCAGGTGGATGCGCGACTGAAACCCAAGGCCGAGGAGAAGAAGCCCGTCAACCAAAACGTGAGCAAGATCGACAAATTGGTCGATGGCATGTCGGAGCACTTCCGTCAAGCAAAGACGGATATCAGCACCAAGCTCTCAGAAGCATCCGGCAAGGGCCAAGCGAAGAACGCTGACGGCACTGCCGCCCCGCCTCCGCGTCTGACTGATGCCGAGCGCAAGAAGGCTCTGGAGTATGAACAGGAGCAGCAATCTGTGGATAGTTTCCGTCGTGAAGAGCGCAACCACGCTCGCCGGAACGCTCAGATGCAGGCTCTTCGCGCTGAGCGTGAGAAGGCTAAGGCTTCCTTCCAGAGGCACCAAAATGCTGCTCAGCAGTCCCGGGGCCGGAAATAATCTTCATCAGCATGTATAAACTGTACTATATGGCGCTGTATTTGGCAATTTGTTTTTCATGTATTCCAGCTTAGATTCAAAGAGACTACACTACTTTATATTTGGTGCATAGTAGTAGCTAAGCAACTAGAATTGGTTACTCTCCTGATCCAAGTCACGGTTTCATACCGGATAAATCCGAGCCTCAACCTTCTAAGCAAAGCAAACGGTCGAGCCGAGACAATGTGCGTAGTAGATTGACAAGTCATTCAGGCGGTTAAAATGAATATGCATTGAAAAATGATCCGCAACTTAAATTTGAACGTGGAGACTAGTGCATTTGATGCCGAAATCGACTGCTATTGAAGGCTAGAAACAGCCGCATTTCTACGCCACGACTCGTGCGACAAAAGCTCTTCCATCCGGTCCTGTATCGCGACAGAAAATGGGCAAAATATACCATTCCACTCAAAAGTGCTCACACCGAGATATATCTCTGTATGTTGGTATTTTTCTCGCGACATCCTGTGGGGTAGCCTTACTCCCGGGCCGCCCCTCAATACACCCAAACCCTAATCCTTCATCATGCTTCCACCTTCACATCAGGATCTCGTATCTCCGCCTCCTTGCTGCTTAGTTCATTTTCGTATTTCTTTCGCAGATCCATGTAAAAGTCACATGCGAGTTTATTATCATCCCAAGAAGGGCGTCCACCAGCACGAGTAAGAGTTATCTCCGGATAGCTGCTTCGTGTAATGCTTTCGGAGGTTGTTGGTGCTCGACTCAGGCTTCTGTTCATTATTAAGCTCTATTAAACAAGTAGTAAAAGGTCACACTTACATCCTTTGTGCAGCTAGGTGCTCGACAAAAAGTTTCACCAAGATAGAGGCGCCAAATGCCCGATTGCTATGTAGTAGAATATTAGTTGATAATTTTGGATTACTAGTTTTCTACTAGTTTCCTACTAGTAAATCTTACCTCCTGATTCGCCACAGCTACTGGATCCTTTGCATCCATTCGAAGGAGTTGAATCCCATCGCTTGAGGTATGGCTCTTATACCATAAATAGGCTGACTATCAAAAGGTGTTAGTTACTACTAGTAAATAACCAATGAAGCACTACCTACATGCTCAGTGTACTTCACCATCTTGCTGAAATATTGACTTAGCCAAAGCCAGGGGTATAGGAGAGGTTAGGAGGATATGGCTTTTTATAGTATGGAATATCTGTTGTCGACAGCCTGAGGCATCAGCGCCGAGTCATCCCTGCGCACCACATTCTCATGTATGCATTTAATTACATCCAGTCCCTTTGTTCAGCATCTTTCGCTTCTTTCAAATCTCCTGGACTTGTAGGATGAAAGAATAGCCGATGATACTAAGGAGCTAGATATTATGGTGTGGAGTGGCTAGGCCTATGTTAAATAGGGCACTGTCATCAGTACCTCGTCCTTGACGAGGTTTCTTTGATGGTTTCTCTTTAACAATACCCTTCCTCTAGGTTTAGAATCCTCAAGTAAATCCTTCCATGTTCAAGCGTGACCGCCTGGATAGTTGAGGCTGTAGATGTAGCCGGCACTCACACCTCAACACTACTTTTTCTTTTTTGCCAGCTGTTCGAACATATTGATCCATTCAAGTTGTTTTAGAATTGAATTTCTAGGAACGATAGAGGATTGGAGGGGAAACCAAGACAGAATGCCTATGTTGGAATTGAAACAGATCGTAAGAGCTGAGCTGAGGCGTGGAAACCCGTAAATGGCTTTTCTTTTTGATGAAAACTAATGAGGCTTTAAAAAATAATCACATGGACTTACATCCTACTGCAAATTATGAAATTGAAGCCATTTTGGCAAGAAAACCATTAAGTTCCCAAGGGTAATTTTACTTTGATCTTATCCAAACTGACCTCGAAATTAAGGGATTTGAAACGAAGCGGCCAGTTTATGTGCAATCCTTTCCTGTGATCCTAGCTACATAGATCGCAACTCTTCTTCTATTTCTAATATTCGTTCCATCCAAGGATCCACTGGAAACAACATTTGACGCGCTTCAGGCTGCTCAAAAATTCCTAGCCTCATTTCTAGTTCGATTAATTCTTCAGTGAGTTCCGTGCGTCTCTGGATTATCCTGTCACTTTGTTCTTTTTCTTGGGCCTCTGTTCGAACAAATTAATTCATGTCAGAAACCAGATAGGACTACTAGAACAGGGGATGCTCAGGGCAAAACTACATGCGCTCGGAGCATAGTATCATATAAGAATCACCTATTCTTGTGCACTCTGGGCAGCCAGATGGCTCGAGCCCGCGCTTGTCGTAGCTGTATGTATGCCCACAACGTCTCTATAATTGAAGCCATCTTAGAATCGACCACATGGGCATGTAAAAGGTAAAATGAAGGTAAAATGAAGGTAGAACAGAGATATGACATAGGATTTGAATCAGATAACTAGTTGGATGGAGCTGGGCTTTGGCTGGGATAAAGCTTTTTTGATGAATGGTACGGAGGGGGGTTTAAGAACGATTATGTGGACTCACACACTCTGTGCACTGTAGTACTGAGTCCATATTGACAGGGTGACCTTTCGAGGGTTGTTTTATATTTGTCTATATTACACTGGCCTGGAAATTGAGGCTCTGAAAGAAAAGTGCCAATATTAGGTGAGGTTGGGAAGGGCAAGAAGAGAGAGAGAACTTGAACGCGTAGAAGAGAGGGAGGGGGGACTATAAGGTTGCCCAGAGCAATGTTAATCTTACCACGAGATATCGCTGCCGATACGTGTAAATCCTTTACTGGGCAAGCTGCAAGAGGATAACTGTATGGGCGTGGGCTAGATCATGAGAAGGCAAATTCTTTGGGCATGCTTCATTGTAGGAAAATCTACGTTAAGTTCATTCCAGAATTTCAAATAACTTCCGAGTCAATATACTAATTAATTTCCTTTACAGCTGAGAGCTATTTTCGACCAACTTAACATTGAATAAAGGAGAAGAAATAAATGCAAATGGTATGAAGCTAATTATCGAGTTCACGAGATCCCAAAATGCCCACCCTCGTGATCTAAAAATGCCCCCTCGTGGGAGAAACTGATAGCAGATATCGTATTTTTGACTAAAACATATGCCGAAGATAAAAGAATGTCGCTTATAAACGCCTATAAATGCAAGAGAGACAAAGAACATGCATAGCGCACGATAAATCCACAGATCTAGAAACACACGCCTTCACATTCGCCGTTGCAAAATGAGGTCGACAAAGGGAACACAGTACTTGGCACTTGATGATGATTGTATGTGCAAGCAGAGTGATTGAGCCGAGTTCCTTCAGTTAGAAATGAAGTGTCAAAATTTCGACTTCACTGTCTGCATCGCCGAGGGAGCGGCGGCCCCTGGTACCATCACGTCAAGTCCCAGAAAGCCGCGAAATTCATATGCAAAGTCCTGGGTATACTCAAGCAGTCTGCATAGGAACCGAAACAAGTGGTAAAGGCAAGGGAGCCTTTTCATCCTCCACAAACGCAGCCCGCTCAACCTTCTGCGTCAAGGAAGCACAAAATGTATCAACATATGCCGTCCACGCCGCAGCACAAGCATACACAATTCCTATCCAAATCGGAATGCAGAGAGCAACTACCACCGGCGGACGGAGGGGTATCCAATCTCGTTCATCGTCGGTACCGGCTTCACTTCCATTCCACGGCTGTCCGCTGATACCGTAGAGCATCCAAACGAGCACAACGCGCAATAATGTGCCATGGATTAGATAGACGGCGAAGCTTTGCTTGCCCAGCCATAGGAGGAGTCTGTTTGATAAAAAGTCTTTCGTTGATGGAGATATGTAGATTGCGAGAATGATCATGTCGATTGCGAGGGCTGTGTATCGTTTGCCGATGTTTACCCGGGGGGAAATATGTATTCTGCTATTTTGAGGAGGCAGTTTGACCATGAGGACCATTCTGGATGCTCGCCTGGATAAGAGGCGATGAAGAGGCCGATGAATGCTAATGGGATGGAAATTGCTTTTCGGCCGTAGGGGTGGTTTTCAATCCAGGTTTTGACTGTTGTTGAATAGGAGAGATCGCTGAGGAGTATGCCGTAGACTGCTTGCAGTTGGAATGTCTCTATGGCTTTTGTTAGATGGTTTTCCTGCTAATTTGAAGTCTAAGAAGCAATGCACTTACCAGTATCCTTCGCAGCATCCTGGTGGAAATATAGCATCATCCCGATATAAACCATCATCCTGTACCGGAATCGCATGAACATCGTAGCAAACAGCAGAATGTATACAAGCATAGATGCCTTCAAAAGGGGCAGTAGCGCCCACTGATGATCGTCATATGCCATATACCCAGTTGTCCACGTTGACAAGAAATTCTTCCCCAAACGAAGAATCTCATCCCAAAGCGAGTCTTCCAGCTCCGGAGCCGCATACCGACACCACCAACAATCTGATCGATTGGCCACAACAAAGCCTCCAAACTGAGCAACGACCCAAGAGATTACCAGAGCAATTGTGGCAGGGAATATCAAGCGTGGAGGCCTGCGGAAAGCACTTTTAGATATCGTTGTAAATGCCCCCATAATATCGCCGGCGCGTGATTGTTTGAGAGGTTTCAGGCCACAGACGTAGCCGGTCAAAAATGCGAATATAGTTACTCCAATACGGCCTTGCCAGGGAATGCGCAGAATAGGCCATTGAAGAATTCTCGGAGCGACATCTTCGTTATCTCGTGGGGAGAAGAGGTCGTAATCCCAGGCGCGGGCGAGGTGGGTGAGAACGACTAGGAAAGAGGCGATTCCACGAAGGCCCTGGAGCAGATTATCTAGCGTTAGCTTCATGATATTAAATTGAAGATTGGAGGATATGGGCCTGTTTTAATTACGCACGTCGATCCATTTGACACTTTTCCGAGGGTCGCCTTTTGTTGTTGAAGAGTCCCCTCGATTCCAAGAGAAGACAGCGGATATCGGCGTGGAGATGGGGGTTGAAGGAAGAGTGTCTCGCAGACGAGTATATATATGGGAGGTCTGAAGATATGGCATGGCGAAAGATGAAGCAAGATTACACTTGAAGATCCAACTTGAAGATTATGCGCCACTGCACAGCATCAAAAAACGCGTCAAGTAGCCAGCCAGCCCGCCAGAGTATCAAAAGCCTCGGAAGCGTGTAATAAAATTCATCGAGGTATGTGAAGCGAAGTAGTTGAAAGGTTGGAGGCTAGGAGCAGTAAGTGGAATAGGTTATACTCCCCACGCATCCTTCTCACAGGAGAACAAGTAATAATTCAAGAACCGAAATCCAAGAGAAGGAGACAGATATCAAGAAAGAAAAGCCAAGCATGCTACCAGAAAAGACTTGCCAAGAAAGAAGGGGTATCTTGAAGAAGCAGGCCCTGACGCGGCACTGGCATAAACAAATTCCCAACCCAACCCCGTTTGGAGGGTGAAGGGCGCACTGCAGCGTGGGCAAATAGTGCTAGTACATGTACTCCGTACAGTATGTAACAATAAGCCTAGTCAAAGCCCCAATGGTGCGATCCTGAATCCAGTGTGAACCACGAGGACACATTTCCCCCCCGGTACCAATGGGCTAGGGATATCGCGCGTCATTGGCATTGGTATGCCAGGAGATTCAAAAAAAGCTTCTCCTTGTAGATACTTGGAAAGCCCAGTTGGTGGCGCTGGGCCCTTGCAGCGATGGGTGCAGCGGGGCGGTCCTTTTTAGGGCACAGCTTGCCGATCTCGTCATTGGCTCATCCAATGCCTATGGCGTTTATTTCTTTAGATCATAAGCTTATCTTTGCGAACATGTGGATCGTAGCGTGAATTGATTATTTATAGGCTAATTTTCACAGAGCAGTATTGCTGTATGCTGGCAGACCGAATGAAATCACATACCATTGATACAAATGGTTGTTGTTGACCTGTGCCTGCCAAGCCCTGGAGGAGCTGGCCTCCTGGAGATCGACGGATGAATCAGATACATTGGAATGTGTGATCGAAATTGGGGATATTGGATTTACACTATCCGTACATAGGTGTCACATATCTAAGCCATGAAGCCCATATTTAGAAGCCCATATTGAGCGAAGTCCAATATACGAGGTACGCCATAAATAGTGCGGTATAGTTAGCAAAAGGGAAAAAAGTAGTGGTATCAAATTTTTATGTCCTGTCATAATCTCGAAATAGACGACCTGTCCGCTACTATGTAGATATTCCGCCGCGTAGCATGAATGAACCCAGAAGCAAAAGAGATGCCCGCCCAACCAACCGAATACGCCGATGCAATGGAACGAGAAAAAGAAAATAGCAAAAGAAGATAGCAAAGGCCACGAATGATTAGCGGAATAATCGGCGGCCACCAACACTGCCAGAATTCCAAGTAAAAGCACCACTCACTCCGAGATTTTCCATACTCAGCCCGGAGTACCCAACACCACCGCCCTCGCCATCACGCTTAATGCGCCGCACCGCTTCACGCAAGTGCGAGGGCAAGAGCTGGCCACGGTGTGGATTGGGTGGTAGGCGGAATTCACGACGTTGTCGAGGGGGAACGGGACTTGAAACTGCGGACTGGACAGGCTTTCTTGAAGGAGAAGGGGAGACATGAGTTCCGGTTCCGGGAGCTGGAGATGATGAGGCGAGGTTTGTCTCGGACGGCTCTTTCTTGATGCCATTACTGTGAGATCCGGTAGCGGGGACTGGTGTGCCTGAGGGTGTAGGTGTTGCTGGCTTGGACTGTGACCGTGCAGCAGCGGCTTCAGCTCGTTCAGCCCGGGCCTGCGCTGCTTTATCAGCTGCGGCTTCCTGGGCCTCGAAAGCTTCACGAGCGGCGAGATCGTGGGCATCGGCCCATTCATCCTGAACTGTTCGTGCTTTCTCGACAATTTCACCAGCAAAGACCTTCGTAAAACCATTCACTGTAGTCACGACGCTAGCCGGGACAGACTGAGAGAGCGCATGATTGACGATACGACGGAGCGACTCCTTCCTAAGCTTCGCTCGCTTGAAAATATCATATCGCTCAGACTGCGCAGAATTAAAAGCATCGACAAGAATCCTGTACAGCGGAAATTGGTTAGCTCATCAAAAATCATTTCGAAGTTGCAGCGTAAAACATACGCAAGATTCTTCTTCTCAGCCTCCGTATCCGTCGTCCCCTCATCCCTCCCCAAAAGTTCCCCTTCATCATAATCATCATCTTCATCCCCATCATCCGCATTCTGTCCACCAGCACCTCCCGCACCACCGCCACCACCACCACCCCCTCTAACCGATGCTCCATCACCATCAATCGAGCCTAACCGCGTATCACCCGCTCTCGAACTAAGCGCATCCTCGCGCTCCAATTCCCGCGCCTTCTCGGCTTTACTCTTCCGCCCACGTTTCTTTCCACGCGCCGCGGCGCCAGAAAAGACCCCATCGGCACTCGCTCCGCCGAGACTTCCGGTAAAACTTCCCGTCACACTGCCAGCATCGCTCGTCGCGCCGAAGCTGCGCTCCACGTCGAGGTTGACTGGGAAGGAGGTTTGGCGCAGGGGGGTGCATACGCGCTTTTTTGCCGATTGGTTGGGAGGAGACTGAGGATATGGATGGTCTTTTCAGGGGGTTTGGACCCGGGGTTTGGTGGTAGGGTGGTGGTGAGGACATTTTGAATTGGTTGTTGAGGATAGTTGTGCGATAAGAGTAAATTTGGGGTTCCAAGGTTGTATGATGGAGATTGAATTGAGGTCAGATAAGATAGGGCTGTCGTTGGATTGTTCAATCAATTAATGTGCTGTTGGTGGTAGGTAGATTGATGGAGAGAGACTCGGCGACGAGTCCGCGGACTCAAGTGGTGAAATGCCGAATTCAGGAGACGGGGAGCGACATCGGTATAGAAACGAAGCAGGTGAGAATGACTCGGGGAGTTGAGTCGCCTGGGTCAGATATAGCTGATGATGACCTCCAGATGAAGGTCGACTGTTGGGTGAGCGGAAATCGTTGGTTGTCGCGCGACTGGAAGTCAGTCTGATACTTGAGATAACTACGATACTGCCAGATAGGGACGGGCCTCACCGCTTTCCGGCCTAAGACTCATCACCGGAGTATACGAGGTACGTACTAGTTAGTACTCATCAGAAAATCATTCACTATTCCATATCGCTACATAGGAGTGTTTATTTTATCCAGTTGAAGTATTTGATGAGCAGTGTAAGAGCTCCGGTTATATTATAAATAAGGAGTGGCTTCAAAGCAAATTCACAAGAAGTTGGAAAAAAAAATAATCGCTGATGAGACCCAGCTTAACGCATGGACAGGAGAACAAGATAAGACGCTGAGTGCATGAACATGCAATGCTGCGTACTATGTAAAGACAGGAAGTTCAAGTTACAAATTCACAAAATTAAACGGCAAAATGAATACCAATCACAAGATGGACAAAGACTTTGCAAAGAAAGAGTCGAATTCAATCGACTGCGTAGCATGACGGCTGGAAAAGGCCGGCCAGAGGAGAGTGAAGACAGTGGAAGCTCGAGGGATTCAACCTTCAACTACAGGGTGAAGCTCTAGAACTTCTCTCCAATCCGGGGTGCCCCCCCTTTCCAGTCATTGCGCTCATAGTAACGGAACACAAGATCGTACCCGTTCAGATCATGAACGATACGGTCAACACGGCGGTAGCCTTCCACATGCTCCATCTTGGGGCTGCGGCGCAAAGCTTGGCGCTGCGCGTGAGAGATCTCATGGAACCCGGTTGCATCGGCCTCAAGTTCCTCAACAGAGGGCTTGGTCTCGAACAAGGTGATGCTGAAGCGACCAGGCTTGAAGATATCGACGACCTGCTGGATGATGTCGGACGTGGTCTTGCCGTTCTGGGAGTGCGGCACATTGGTCTCGAAGGACGCGTATGAGCAATGCGGCTCAGGCGTGACGTGGACGGTAAAGTAGTGAGTCGGTCCCTTGCTATCCGGAGCAGGAACAACACCGTTGGCAGAGAAACCACAGGGCGTGAAGAGATACGCATCAATGCGAGCATCCGGGAACTTGTTCTTAGGATAGACGTCCGAAAGACCGCAAGAATCAGAGACCACAGTACCAAGAGCATGGCCCTCCGTTGTCAACTCCGCCGGCAGAATGCCGCTACCGCTAGCCTTCATATCAATATCATCCTCCGGGTCGGAGTTGTTGCTGAAGACATCCAAGTGCTCGACATCGTCATCCTTTTCGAGGCTGCGGAAGCGTTTCTCCGCCGTGGCGGCGGCATTTTCCAGATAGAATTGCTTCGCGTTCTCTTCGTCGAGATCGGTCATCAGGACCTCTAGTGTCTCATCATGCTCATCACACTCGGTGGCGACAGGAGAAGGAGGGAAGTCGAGGACCTTGGTCTCAGTCTCGGTAAATTCGACCTCTTCCTGTGGGCTCGCCGGGGGAGTGAGCAAGGTGTGAGGCTCAGTCAGGTACAAGTACCAATGCTCTCCATTCATCTTGCCAATCATGTAGGCGCTACCGTTCTGGAACAGCTTGTCCATGTTGCGAACCTCATCGCGCCAGCTGCGGTGAGGGCCGCGTTGACGGTCGGGGAACAAGAAGTTCTTGCGGCTGTAGAAAACCCGGTAGGGAGCCGCAGCAACAGTGATTCCGCGAGACGGAGGTGCAGTAGCGCGCGGGAAGCCTGCGAACAGAGTGGCGATCTCCAAGATGCGTGGGAGACCGGACAGCAGAGTCGTGGTGCCACATGTTTTCAGAATGAGCTTGTGCGGCCAGACAAACATGCTGGACTCAGACAGCAGGTAGGCATCCGCATCCTCGGATGAGACAATGGAGAGGACTTGGCAATTGACCAAGTCGAGCATATCCTTCCAGATGTCACTGGGAACCTTCTTTAGGCCCTCTGGGCCGGCAGCGCCAAGCTCGCTGGCAGACGGAGCAAACCATACCTCGAGCAACTTCTCGGGACCTATTGCGATTGAGTTAGAGCTTGCATAGATATAAAAGTGGGTGGCATGGACTAACCTTCAAAGGCATTGCTGGAGTCAAGGTCCTGAGTGGCCTCGTAGTTGATGGTCAGAGAAGGTGTCCCCGCAAAGGAGGATGGCGAGGTGGTGTAATTCTTCGGAATACCGACGTAAACCATTTCCGCTGAATGTTGCAGCCTAAGCTGTTATAATTGAAGCACTGAACGGAATGAAGTTGTGGGAGACGTCGGACCGCCCTGGGAACCGTGTGTATGTGGAGACAAAAGGCTTTAGAAGCACTGTCTACTTGCTCAGACGCACAAGGGGGCGGTGCCCGTCTGAGAAGAGAAGGCCTTTAGGAGGAAATTAAACTGGCTAACAGACCAGCGAGATATAAACCCGAAGAGACCAGAAGGGCCGCTAGGGAGGTAGAAATGCGTAGGCGAGGAAGAAGATCGTACAAGGAATGGTGACGATCAGTCAAGTACCCTCGTCCTGGAAGATACCGATACCGGTAAAAGTATCGGGTCTAGCAGAAGAGAGTATCTGCTTTGGTATAGGGTGATGAGGGGAAGTGGTGGGTGAAAATAATTTGCGGGAGTCGCGTTATCGAGGCCTGGAGGGAACCAAGAAGAGCCAGATTAGCAATGGCGCTGATATGGATAGACAGAGAAGAAATGAAAAGAAAGAAAGAAAAAAAAATAGAGGGGGAGGGGATGGAGGGGAGGGACCGTCAATTGTCTCTGTGACAAGAAAAATGTTTGTGATCCCGTTCGGATCTATTGCGGGCAAATTGAAGCACGATCTGCGTGTTCCGAACGGTTGTACGACAACCGATTGGGGAAGATAGGAACCAGGGAATTGAGAATTGAGACAAATACGTACTTGGCAGGCTTAGAGAGAAATCGCAGAAGATCCTTTGGGCTCATAGAAATGGGCAAGAAAATCTGGGTTAAAATTGCAGGTCGCGCGGGGCCAACATCAGTGAGGGGATGTGGAAAAAAAAGAATGGGCACGAGGGTTGTCGGTTAGACTCCGAGGGCCTCAATGGGTGCCCGAGATGCAATTGATTGCTCGGGAAACGAGTCACGAAGGTAAGGCGTAGACTCAGGGGTCTCGTTGGACCAAATATGTCACCAGTGGTCGATTTGAAGACCTCTTGAGGAGGGGTGACAGCTGCAAAATGTGTTTGCGCTTGTTGGTGGTTTGGTTGGCAATGAGCGATTTTATCTGTGGGCCCGGGCTCGTGGGGCGCGATGAAAATCTGACATCAGGGAAATGCGAGTTAGCGGGTGGGTTGGGCTGCAGTCGAATTGACGACCGGGACTGGGATTGGTTACACTGTGTCAAGTGGGATGGTAGCTTGACAAGATATCACGAGAGGATCGTGTCAAGAAGAGAGTTGACTGTCTCTGAGAAGAAACAAGAAGCAAAGAAGAAGCAGAAAGAGAAGCAGGTTGCAGCCAAAAAAAGAAGCAGCAGGCGACAGTCCCCGATTGGGAAAGCACACGAGCGGTGAGGCGGGGCAGAATTACCTTCCCCGGCGTGCCTGAGCGGAGAAGCGGGCGATCTTTCCCAGTACATCTACGCGGGGACATCCGGATTGGATGCCCTTGTTGGAAACAAAGAGGTCTAGACGGTCTGGGAAACGCCATATCTGGAATGAATACTGAATACAATACTGCAATACCCCAACCTTCCCCCATAAACGCCTGAGTCATAACGCCATGTACCGTGCTGCAACCAACTTTCCTCCTTTCCCCCTTGGCCAAATGCAGTGCACAAAATGTTCCCTAGGCTTCCAGGATGATATGGGCTAGCTGAACCTCGTTGGCCTCGGCAATGCGACTTGCGATCAGATCCCCCACCTTGTCGGTCAACTTTGACCGCAATTCCTCCGTCACTGCCGCCGGGTGGCCATTGGCCAATAACCCTTGACTATCCCGAAGCGATGCCAGAACGGCCACCAACGCATTCAACACTCGTTCGGCGGCAGGTCGTCGAGCAGAATCATCGATTCCATCACTGAGCAATTTCGAATAGTCGCTGAGATTGGGGATGATGAGCACACGCACCACCTCCGATCCACCCACCGACTGCATTCCGATCACAGCTCCGTAGTGCGCCCCGAATGGTTTCGAAGGATCAAGGAAAGCCTTGAGGCAAGATCGTACCAGTCGAGGCTTGAGCATATGGGAGGAGTGAGAGTACTTTTTGGCAATTAGACCGAGCAGAGTTGCTGCGAGGTCACGCAGCGCAAACTGCTCGGCCAGGTCAGCTGCGCCACCGAGCTGCCGACCGATGAGACAAGTCAAGATGGAGGGGACAAGGGAGGCGATCTAGTAATTCTGTCAGCGGGCGGACGGGGTGGTGAATGAATAAAAAAAAGCAGAGAGGAACTCACATAAGGGTCTACGTAGAGTGACTGGTTCTGAACCAAGGCTTCGGCCATGTGCATTACCTGTGTCAACACAAAGATATCCTTAAGACTATGCGTGACCTTTTCAGCAATGAACTGGATAAAGTACGGTACCAATTGGTGAAGACCGGGATCTTCACGCAGACTGGAATACCCAGAAGTGCGGAACTCCTCGCTGTTCTCGTCCAAGACGGCGCTGCAGACTTTCTCAAAGTAGAGCTGCAATTCCTTGGACAACACGTGTTTCACCAGCGGCTTGACAGACACGTCACCAGAGCCGCTCATCGCAGCCAGTGTAGAGTTGGCATTAGGTCCCTTCGATGCCAGCTCGAGGTTGCGGGAGTCGGATGCCGTAGGATTTTGAGAGATGGAGGGCTGCACGCCTTCCACGGCGAGCCAGTGACCTGCAAGACTCGTCAGCGCGTGTAAGATAGAACCCAGACGCTTAACCTAAACTTACCAGTGAAGGAGACTTCTCGCGGCACCTTAGGCAAAGGTGCATTGATAAGCTTCTCGAAATCCACTTCCTCGTCTTCAACATAGAATAGCGGTTGACCGGGACCGAGTGATGCCTCGCCGAAGCGGAGGGGCCGAAGTGACTCATATCCATATAGGGGCTCGACATCCAGATTCCGTAAAGCAAGAGATATGTCTTGGGTGGTGAGGACGGTGCGTTTCGCGTGGCGCATCGATTTCAGTGCTTCCTCAAGGACCTGGGCGACCCGGTATTCAACATCGCGAGCAAGATTTTCGGTCACATCGTGGTTGAGGTTTGTGATGCCGACGGATTCGGCAACATCGCGGATATTATCTGGATTCCAGACCGACATGTTGGCTTAAATATGGTCTGGGTGCGCGAATGGATGAATCGGGGGTAGGGTATCGTTGACCGGCGAGGCAGCGGAAGTTCGGTAGAAATGATTGGAGGGTCGGAAAAGATTTAGCAGAAAGTGAATCGCATTCTGAGGATCAAAGCTCTCAGCTCAGGGAACAAGGAGAGGTTTTATCCAAAAGCGACGAACCCCGTGAGTTCGATGGCCTAATAATACCTTCTGGACTAAGGTGGTCGCGAAGGAGGAGGTGAGTTGCGCATCTGGGTGCTGTGGTCGCCCGTACAAGCTTGCGGGACCGCCGTGGTGGATATTCCAGAGCTACATCTTGTCCTTGTTTACTGACTCCAGTTCGTTCGATAAATTATAACGTCAAGCCTCATTTCAGCTGATTAAAAATACTATGTCTGCACAACGGCTACCTATCTATGGAAATACTTAAAACAACGCACCAAAACAAGAGTGGAGAGTGTCACGCACTGCTCCGTCGGGTATCACAACTGACGGCTCAACAGAAATATGAGCCTTTACTTGGTCTCATCCTTAGCTTCCTCCTTGACTTCCTCCTTATCAGGTTCCTGGGCTGTCTCCTTGGGCTCTTCCTTAACGGATTCCTCCTTGACAGGTTCTTCTTTGGCAGGCTCAGTGATGGTGGGCTCATCCTTAGAAGCTTCCTTTGCTGCCTCGGGGCTCACAATGGCCTCAGCAGGAGCAACACTTTCGCCAGAAGTCTCAGCAGGCTTCGCCTCCTCCTTAGGCTCCTCCTTCTTCACTTCATTATCTTCGATCAGCTGGACTGTGCGAGCCTCGTCCTTCAAATCCGAACCCTTTCCACCATAGGTCTTAGGGAGCTTATCCGCGATGGCAGCAGGGAATTCGCGAGCGAGATTGGCACCATTGGTGATGGGGTGGAACTTGCGGGTCGTGTTACGGCTTAGAATGAGCTTCATAGCAGAGAACATCCATCCCATGATGGAGGGCACATTGACGAAGAACTTCTCACGCAGCAGCTCAGGGTACGCGGTGGAGAAGACATCGATAGTCTTCTTCGTCGCGGTACGAACTGCGGGGTCCATACGGAAGAACTTGACATTCAGATAGTCGTGGACTTGAACCATCTGGTAAGGGTCCTTTTCGCCGTCGTAATCGATCACGGTCGTGGCGTCCTTCATCTTCAGGTCTTGGACGGCAAGTTCCATGAGGGCTGCGCGCCATTTGACGAATCTGTTGATATTAGTTTTAGTTTCATTTTTTGGCGCAAATGCGAGACTTGGACTTACTCGTCCGAGTCTGAAAAGGTCGCGCTCATATCTTTGACTGCGCCGTAGATGTTCCATGTGAAGACCAGAGGACGACCATCCTGCTCATACGTAGTCAGGTATCCCAAACCCCCGTATTTGGTAGCACTGTATCGACCTGTCTCGATCAGCGCCAATGGGTTGGTCTGCTTGCGCCATTCGAGCGCCTTGCGAAGCTGGTCCTCGGCGGCTGCCAGGTTGCCCTCGTTGGCTCGGAGAAACTTGATCAGCACGTTGACGGTGGGAATATCCGCGGTATCTTTGAGAGGTACGCCCCACATCTCATCGTGACCAGTCTTGGTGAGAATGCCGGGGAGGTGGTCGAAGAACTCGCCCAGGGACGGAATCTTGGTCACGTATTCTGGCTTCTGGGGCTTTTGCTCCTCGGGCTTAGCTACCTCAGGCTCGGCGGCGGTAACAGTGGTGGTCGTCGCAGGCAAGACTTCATCCTTGACAGGTTCCTCAGATTTCACAGGCTCATCTTTGGCGGGTTCCTCAGGCTTAGTCGCGGTATCAGTGCCATTGTTCTCAACAATAGGGGCCGCGGGAGTTTCCGAGGGCTCGGCCGTCTCCACGACGGGCTTTTCAGTGGCAGGAGTCTGCTCGATAGGCTTCTGATCAGACATGGTGCTGGTGTTTTGCGAGAGGAAAAGAAAGAAAGGAGAAGTACGGAGATGAAGTCGAGACCAAAAAACAAATCAGGGGGAAAATAAAATAAGGCAGGGGCTAGCTGCCTATCGGGGCCCACTGTATCTCCCTCCCCCCACCTGTCATCCCATTCTCATCACACTAATTACACCCGCGACCGGGCCAATTCTATTTAGATTTGCAATGACAATTAAATTCCGAAGATTCCCATAAGAATCGGTATCCAAACCACCGGGGCGGGGGGGTTCCTGATTGCGGCTAGTTAGATACTAGTACCTATTAACTAGTCCTGTATACCCTACTTCAATGGTAGTACTATAAATAAGCCTCAATAATACTAGTAGTCCGTTTAGATGGTCATTGCATTTTCTACGGTACTTGAACATACTAGTATTTAGTATTACTATACACAAATAACAAATCTGAGATCAAGTACTCGTATGGGTATCAAGCGTCTAATTCAGCTTTGCCCACCATATTGCTAGTAGTATGCTTCTGGATGCCCGCTACTAGTACGGACTAGCCTATAGTAGCTCTTTTATAGTACCACCTAGACACCTAGTAGCTCCAATTTGAACTCCATGGCCAAGGGATCAATTGAAATACTGTTTCAAGGTTGCAACAGTCGTGCGACCCCTTCCATTATCCAAGTTCAGTGCGACTAGTGCGACAATTCTACTGCAGGTTACGAGTCACACTTGATCCTTGGGCAATTTCCGAGAAGGGTTCAGGAAAAGAATGTACTAAGTAGTAGTAGTAGTACACATTCACATTAACCTTTCGGGTTCGAGGGCTTTTTTGCATTCGCCCTGAGGCTCCGCTTTGAAGTATTTACTGGCATACCGTCTTTGGAGGAAATGCAAGCTAGTTAACTTGAACTATAAGATTTGTCTTGTGATGACATAGGAAGCTTTGATCACGGCGACGCTACTATTCTATTTATAACTTGAATTTTAACTTCGTGGCAGTGACGCTACTAATGCACAAGTGCCAAAACATCAGTGAAAAGAGATACAGTCTCACTGAAAATGGGACTATCACAAACGCCATGTAAAACTAGCTTGACACGCGGCACAGTCAGATATGGTTATCATTGGTTCTCTACTGCGGATCTAAGCTCACAGGCAGGAAGGAAAGAAAAGAAAAACCAGTCTGATTGTCTGGCTCATTCATCAACAAAGGGCAAGGTGAAGAAGCCGAGTCGAAGAATGAGAGAAGCAAAGAAAGCCCGGAACGAGAGCTCAAGCGTCAAGGGGAATATACAGATGACCAAAAAAAGAGAAAGTAGTCAGAGCAAACTAGAATAGGACGAAACAAATCAAGGCCACCTAAACGGACGTTTACACCACCTTGGTGGAAGACGGGCCATGGAAAAAAATAGAGAAAAAAAAGACAGAGAGAGAGAGTACGAGAAAAATAGCTGTCGTAGAATATAGATTCGTATTATTGCCCGTTGCGGAAACGATCGGGGATTTGGGGCATAGCGGGTGGGGGACCAGGTTCAGTCTCATCCTCATCTTCCTCCATCTCATCAAGCTCTTCGGGGTGCCTGTAGGTATGCGTTAGCAAAGTCCGCTCAAATAGCTGACGAAAATGTTTAAAAAAAAACATACGCAAGAAGTTCCTTGATATTCCTCATTTCGTAGTGCTTCTTCCGATGCTCCTCGAACTCGCGGTGTTTCTCCTTCGCGTCATCCGAGGTGATCAGACCGTCGCCATTCACCTCACCACCCATGACCACGTGCTTATCACTCTTATGGGAATCCGTGCTCATGCTGCGATCGCGGTAGATCCGGGGGTCCGAAGCCGCGTCTGCAGTGGCCTGGAATGTATCTTCTGCCTCGCCGAGCTCGAGATTGGGGATTTCGTCTTCCGAGACGCCTTTCTTGTGGTGGTGGCTGGACTTGTCGGGGTTATCGAGCTCGTCAACAAAAATATCCTGCGCATCCAGGAGGCTGTCTTTCGCCTCTTCCAGACGCATCTCCTCTTCGTCCTCGGTGGGATCGTAGTGCGGGGCATACGGAGTCTTGGGCTCGTCGATCTTCATTTTCGCGGTGCGGTCCTGCTCCGCCAGGTACAGGTTGGCTTCGTCCCACTTCAAACGGGGCTCGTTTTCGTCCTGGGCACTTTGGACGGATTGCCTGCGGGATGAGGAGCCGGGCCGGGTGTTGGAGGAAGACCGACGACGGCCTGCGTTCTGAAGGGTATTCTGGAGGGTGATGTCCTTGGTGTCGGACACTTCGGGGACAGTAGGCACTGGAATGGGCCCGGCGAGTGAAGCAGCGGGAGGCGCGGAAGCGGAGGAGTAGGACTTGGTGTTCTTGAGGATTCCTAGTTCACACAGAGCGAGAAGCTATCCGTTAGCCCTGCTGTCTCTGTTTGGGACGGAAAAGAAGCCTACCTCTCGGGCGCGGGTGCACATCTTCGGTGCTGTGTGCCTTAGCCGGCATATGCGGTGCGGTTGTCATCATGGATAGTTGGCGAAGAGAGACGAGGATACCGTCCGATTTTCAAGTGGACGTAGGCAAGAAATATTCCGGAGGGGTAGAAGTAGGAGGCTTAGCCTGTCAGCCGCCGTGTCAGATGGGGAGGTATGTGTGTTCAGCTGGGACCAAGATGACCTGAAGATCAGTCTTCAGCTAAGTAGGGTTGTAGTAGAGAAGATATGGGGAATGAGAGCGAAGCCACTTGAAGGAGTCAGCTGCGATGGAGCTGGAGCTGAAGTTGGAGTTCGAGTTGGAGTGGGAGAAGGCGGGCACGTGGGGCATTTTGATGACGTCGGCCTTGGCGCCTGACGTATTCGGATTGCGGCCTGAAGGCGAGTATACATAGTTGTATGTACTAGTATACTAGTACTACTAGTTACATGGCCTCTAGGCTCTCGGATCTTTTTTTTAAATACAGCTCTAGCTTCACGTATAATTGAGAATCCATATATAATTTGACCTCTAACACCAGATGAATCGCCCAAGGAAGGGGTATCTGTATATGCAAACAAGTAGGGCCCGCCTCGTGTAGCTCAAAATGATGGAAGTAAATGCAGAAAAAGAGAAGAAAGAAGAGAAAGATAAGAAAAAGATCGAAGGAATGTAAAGAATGTAAAGAGAGAATTTGTGTGGACCGGGCCGGACCGGAGCGAGATTGCTCAAGCAATAGAGTCAAACTCCTCTCGCTCACGGAGACGATTGCGAGCGAGAAGATCTCCTCCATTTGCTGACAGCTGCATCCAGTGCAGTGCCAAACACATACTTTGCGGGTCCGACTTGGAATCTTTACCGCGCATATACATCATTTCAGCCTTGAAGGTATCTCGCGGACAGGTCAGTGGTAGCGTGACCCGAGGAAGGCGTTCTGGATGAGTTAAGTAGAGGATAGCTAGCTCGCGTTGAGCGACTGGGTTGCCCTCTTTAGCGGTGACGATCCACATCGCCGCTGCGTCTTCGATGGCGTGGCTAGGTCGCGGGTAGAAGTCGGATCCAGGAAGCGGGTGTCGGCACATGAGCTCTTGAGATACAATACGGTCCGCAATCTCGACCATGGCATTGCAGACCTCGTCTTTGAGACTCAGAGCAGCGAGGCCAAATTGAAGGAACGCTGTGCCCCGGTCGGTTTTGCTCAAATGTTCGCTGGGAACAAAGGCAGAAATAAACTGCAAGTCCCGGAAGAGAGTCTTGGGCTTGACTTCTAGAATCAAGTCACGTAGGGTAGCCACGATCTGATCCTCAGACGGTGGACAGTAGTCCGACGGACGCGATTCGCAGGTGACTGAATCGACTGAGGTGATAGGAGCTTCTGGATCCATGGAGGCCAGCCCTGCTGGTCGCATCTCCGAGAAGCTGTGACGGGTAGCTCGAGGTCGTGGTTGGCGGGGACCCTGTAAACGATCGGCACCGCTAGAGTATATTCTGCTAGAAGTACCTGCCAAATTTGCATCATGGGACGAGATGAGAGAGGCGACGACCAAGGACCTGAGGTCTCGGAGAGCATTGAGTTTGACAAAAGGGTTTCCATGGCGAGAGAAAACTTCGATCAAACGATGGAAGACTGTCTTGTATGAAAAGGCCGATTGGTCATCTTGATCTGATTCTTGGTCCAGACTAGAAGGGGTTTGATCGCTCGGCGAACTCTTGCGGCGGGAAACAGGAGGCTCGAGAGATATGCTCCGTCGCCCACCATTTGTCTGGCGGTGTTGCCTGGTACCTTTTGAGCGTTCTTCGTAATCCGCCCAAAATTTCTCAACGGCGGCGTGCCTCTGCATCTGCACTCTAACACGCGTTTCATCGAGTTTGTTGGTGAACCAGGCATCTGTTTCACTGCCACAGCTCCAAACCGGAGAGCCTAGATCGCTGAGAAGTAGACTGGTTAAGGTTTGCCGCAGGTCGTCCATAAATGCCGATTTCCCAACTGTCTTGCGTTCAGAGCGACGAGGTTGTCGTGTTGCAGTTTCGCTGAACATTGAAGGTGGTCGTGAGTACACACTTGATACGCTGTTAGCGTACATAGGATGGCGCTGCGGTGCGGACCAAAAAGTGCTGCAAGTATCGCCAGTCGACGTCGATGCTGCACGCCCGGGAGAGCCCGCAATGGATGATATATCGATAGAGGGAAGGTCACGAGCAGGGCGAGTTTTGTCCGAACCGATGCTCTGAATGGACGGTCTTCGCCCCATGAACGGGGTATCATGGGAGAACCGTGGCGTGAACTCGGGCATATATATGTTGCTTCCATGTAATTGACTGGCATGCATCGGGTCCTCACTTGTAGTAGTCGAAGGTCGAGGCGTTGTCGGTACGGACAACCCTGGGAACGAATGATTGCCGTAGCCCTCATACCTTGCTCGCTCTCTTTGAAATAACTCGCTGGCCCACAGAACAGGAGTTTCTGCCATGGTCTCGCCAACGAGGCGACTGATGCTTGTTCGAACTTCATAACAGAACCTGTGGATGCGTTCTTCGCCTTTACAGAAATTATCAATAGCGTTGTGGGCCAGCCACTTGCGAGTGAGTTCCACCTGCTCATCTGATAATTTCTTTGGACCACCCTGACTACTTGGTGCTTTCATCATGTTCATAACTTGCACTTCCGGCTTTTGGAATAGGGATCCCCCTAACGAACGGGCCCCGGTACGAGTGCGTGGTTCCTCGGGCATATCGAAGTAGGGACGAGAGGAGTAGATCATGGTCTTCAGAGCCATAGCCACATGTCGAGCTTCTTCGTACCTCATTGAATTTTTGACATCGGTCATGTACCACATTTTATTTCGAAGTTTGGAGATAGTGGTCATCAAGCCCTTGACATGTGTTTGGAGACGGCGGAGGTTTTTGCCCAGTGACACGAAATCACCTTCACAGCGATCGATGATAGCGCGGGATCTGGTCAGGGAACGACTGCATGAGCTGTGCATTGGGCCGAGAATCCATGAATCATCTCCCATAGGTGAGGAGTCAACAGTATTGCCTTGTCGAAGTTGGCGTGAGGCATTCCACCAATAGTGTGCACCCACAAAATTAGAAGAGTGGTGAGAAGAAGCCATGGCTTGGTTGAAGCGTTGCTTCAGCGATTTCGATGAAGCCTGGAAAGGACTTGAATAGCGGTTGGTGTCATCCGAATCATAGACTTGATCCTCTTGAACAAGGCGAATTATGGCTGTCTGGAGTGCCTCGTAATTTTCTTCTAGGCCAAGACTTGTAGACTGGGCATCATCATCACTTTCAATGACAGAGGTCCTTCGTGATCCACAGTCCGGAAGTAGGCTCCATGTGAGACCACGACCATCCTGAGCGACCGAGAAAATGGTCCAATGCTCATCTGAAGGAGCTTCCAACCGTGGGCGTTCGGTTAATTCGTCCGAATCAGACAACTCGAAGCGTATCCGTGCGGCAGTCTGACCGATTCTACTCTCAGGGGCAGACATAGAAGAAGTCTCCGTGGAAAATACAGAGCTACCTCGAGAGGTGGGGCGTCTGTCTGTATCGTGGGGCGACCGGAAGAAACCAGGTTCATAATATGAGTCTGGACGAATGCTATAGGTAGGTGATAGACTTGAAGCCCAAGAAGAGAAACCTGCTGAATCTTGGGGAGAGTGTAATGTGGATGACGAGCGTGGGAAAAGAGCGTCTAGTAGTGTAAGTATATCACTGGCGGAAAGCAAAAGGAACGTCGACGAGTCATTCCCCAGGGATGGTGTCAGGAAATCCATCGCTGGGAGTTCGGTAGACGAAGGGGGTTGGAGGCGTGAAATCATGCTATCAACACGCCGTTTGATGGATGGCCGAAGAATGGAAAAATGGTTCCTGTATTGAAATTAGCCACCGAACATCTTATATTGATAAAGAAATGCGAGGTGAGCATTGATTGAAACCCACATAGAACGTAAGACAGCGAATACTTGAGAATAGGCCCTCAGTCCAACCTGCCCAAGCAGCTTCTCACGAGCATCTTTTCGAATATGAAAATCGAGCAACAAACCGTGTGCCTATCCGACAAAACTTGTCAGAATGAATTCGACTGGCGGGAGGGGAGGCTCGTACCTCTGGATAGGTTAAAGCGCTATAGAGGAACTTTGGGAAGAACCACTGAACAAAAAGATACTCAAGGAAACGACTGCGGCCGTCAAGATTGTCCAATTTACAAAGCACAGCTTTAGCAAACTGGAGAACAGTAGAAGGAAAACCACCATCGGGGTCATCGAGAACACGGAATAGGTCATCCACGGCAGAAGCAAAGAATTCCTCGGCGACATCGGTTCGAAGGGGATCCAGAGCCTCGGCAGCAAAGTCCAAACCGGCAGGGGTATCTATATGCTCCAAAAGGAAAGCGCCGGTCTGCAGGATATCCATAAGGTAGAGTTCAAACTTGGGACGGGCTTTCCAGTTGCTGCCGGTGGCCCAAGCAGACAAGATTTGCCCAATGAGAGGGTAGAATTTACTGCTACCCTGGGACATTAGTTGAGCGCAGACAGAAGACCACATGTCCAGCCGTAATGTGAACTCCGGTGTCCCAGACTCCAAAGGGGCGGCATAAACGTTAGAAAGCAAGATGGAAAGCGGATTGGTCCTTTCAAAAGCATACGCATGGTCCTTGAACGAGGCTGATTGGGTTGGATTTCGATTAAAGGAATATTGACCTCGGAAGGAACGGGAAGAAGAAGACGAAGAAGAAGACGGAAATGCAGGGTCTCCGGCATCCAAAGCAGTGGCTGCGTTGGTAAAAGAGGCCAGTTGTGATGAGGTGAAACTGCGGAGACGGTCGACCAGGAACTGGGGATCAGAACGAACCAGCCGTAAGATCTCCAGCAAGTCCGCCCGGGATTGAGGGCTTAGTTGGTTAAAGAAGTCCGAGGAGCGATCCAATTCAGGCTCCGAGGATTGTTCCTGTTCGTCCAGCGATTCATCTCGGTCATCACGCCGTGCACTGGATGTACACGACTCCTGAAGATCATAGAGCGTGTGATATAGAGCGGCAAAACTGGCTTTATCATCATGTTTGAGAGCTTCGACCAGACCTCGCTGGACCGTATTGCCGATCCGGATTATGCGCGCAGAAACACCGATGGAGACCTTGGTGGCGCGCAGTCGCTTTTCCAGTCGCTTCCTTTGGATTTGTTTGCGCTGGCTTTGTCGGAATCGCATGGAGAATTCTTCAAAGGAGACCTGGGGCCCTTCATCTCTGGTGGCCGTGGGAATCGCGGGAATAGTTGGATGCGGGGAGTCTTCTCCAGGAGATTTGGCCATGGATTTGGGACTGGAACGGGCCGAGCCACCCAACTCACCTGGCCCCACGCTCTGTTCCACTGGTTCTATCAGAGGAACATCGGAGGGCATGGTCGCTGATGGCGACGCTGGTGGTGAAGGAGGAAGAGGCACTGATGTGGGATCTGCCCGATGCGATGGATCACATGGTGGATCAGTCTGGAGAGTGGGAATCCGCACGGCTGGAGCAGATCAGATTGGGATCAAATCAGGCAGCGAGACGACAAGGAACCAGGGGAGTGGGTTTCACCCCACGAAGGTGACAAGAGACCAGTACAAGCTGAAACAGCCAAAAATGGAAGAATAGGCGCGCAAAAGAAGAACAGACAGAAGCAGAAACCAAATGAGAAATCTAGACGTACTGGTAGAGGACCAAGGGTCCTCTTGTGGATAGACCACCATTTTGTCTCTTGTCGCGCCAGGCGGAGAACAGGATCGCGAAAAGCCCCTGGCCGCGATGGGCGGATCCTTATCGCATGGTTCTATCGCGGGGCAAGAAACCGGCCGGGGGTCATGGGAATGACGACGACCTGCCCGGGCGGAGGGGATAGAGCAACTGGCGAACGAGTCCAGGGTGAGAACGGGAAAGGAAAGGAAAGAACGGGAGGATGAAGGGAGTTGAAAGGTCAAACAAAGGTCGAAAGGGAAAGTGGTAAAGGGTACGAGTAGGAGAGGAGAAGTATAAAATCACCGAGTTGTTCAAAAGGCTAGCCGACTCGAAGCGGACAGTTGCAGATGGCGATTTTGTCTCGGAGGCATGGAGTACCGGGGCACTGAGCCAGCATGTTCCAACTGGTCATAGCAAGTTCTGCGGCAAGGGAGAGGCTGGCTGCAGAGTACATTGGTCGCGAGTACCGAGTACACGGCCATGATGCGTTGGCACTGCATGCATGCGTGAGGTGGACAGCCCAGCCGGTGATGCTGATTCGCTCGTCGCCCCCCTTGGTCTCTGCGGAGTCAGCTTCTGCTGGTCGTGGATCGCGCATGGTGGCCAATGACCAATCGTCAAGTCTTGCGCGCATGAGAAATTCCCTGTGGCCGAAGCGAGGGAATCGAAATTCTGTGTGCCATGATGTTCGCAAGTTCCAAAGGTTGCTGTTCTCTGGGCGCGGCTGTGGGGAAAGCCCGCTGGCACCAACTACAGATGCACAGTAACTACCTGTGGGTGGAGTCGTAGTCGAGACAAGCCCTGGCACTGGATTTGGACATGCAACAAATCAATCAAGTTGGAAGATTCCAAAGCTTCGGTCGGCCAACCCCGGGATTGACATGGATGGCCTAGTTGGCCGGCGTAAACAACAAACCAACAGGGTGAGTCGTGGTGCAGATGCTCGGATCCCGAGTTTGCGAGATGGCAAGATCTCATGATCGTAACAACGCCATTGGCTTGCATGCAGCAACGGTGACTTGTCGCGGGGCACAGCAAAGCACAGCAAACAAAGTGTGCAGAGTGTGCAGAGTGTGTGCAGTGAGGTGGGTGGATGTACAAGTACAAGAAGGAATACCTGCAGTCGAAAGAATCCTGGGCTTGGCACCTTCCATCTCATCCTTCTACATACATTATGACTTCAAGTTGCCACTTAGTAACTAAGTACATGGTTATATCTGATTCCAGGTCTCCCAAAAATTGAAAATCGATGCCTCATCCATTAATGCATCCATCAGATTCCCATCAGCCACAACAAAGTCGCCCTCGTTGATCTGACCCTGGGTATAGTCAGGGACATCGGCCCCCATAGGAGAATTGACAGGAACATTCACATTTGCAGTAGTAGGAGCTGCAGCTGCAGCATTGGCTGTGGAGCTAAAAGGTGCCACAGGGGCCGAGTACCCTGGGAAAATCATTTGGAGGGCCTTGGTGAAGACGGCCCGGTAGATCGAGGCTGCGGTGTACGTTTTTTGAAGCTCTTCCATGACCAACATGCACATTTCGAGCTTGTTCAGCCTGACTCGCTTCGAGAGAGGATCGCCGGTCTTGCAATGAAGGAGATGCGCCTGCATCGCGGGAACTAAAAGTGGCGGTCTTGGGAGCCCATGCTAAATTAGCTTTGTCACTCTACTTGTCTCCCACCCCCTTCCGAGGGTTCCCCTTCTCCTGCCACGGGATAAACTCACGTCATAGGCCCTGCAAACCCCAGAAGATCATCTTGAACTAGCGCATCTAGAATCTCGTTTGTTCTGGAGGCAGCAGCATCGGCTCTGAGTCTCATTCGATGTTGCCAGTCTTTCTTAGCGCTGTCATGAAGTTCGTTCGGAGCATCTGTTCCCCAGGGTCGATAAAATGTGACCAGCATCGCTCTGTAGTGTCGATGATATTAACTAGTCGATCAGAAGAAGCCAAGAGTCATCCAGAACTTACTGATAATGCAAATGAACGTGGTTTGAATAAAACCGGGTGCTCGGCATGAGTCCAACTTCATACTGATCTGGCAATCTGCTCTGTAGCAGTTGACTCTCAATCATTTCAAGCTCACGAAGAGATGGCTTTGACCTCGCTGCTTGATAGTTCACAGTCATGATTTTGCCCAGCTGGCAGCTCAGCTCTATAAGAATAATCCAGTATTCAGCTGACCTTCGCATGTCCCCTGGAAAGCAGGACGAAAAGCTGTATTCTTGAGGGACCCCAATGTCAAACAGCATATCGTCGACTGACGGCATAGGGATATCACAATCATCAAGGTTGATGCGTAAGGGCCTCCCCAAAGTAAGTCCTAGCCATCGATCTCGAAAAGAAGCAGCACCACCAAAGACGACGCCAGAATGACCTTTGTCGGTCGGTGATGGATGAATTGTAGCTTGATATTCCAGGGTCACGATGCAGGCCGAGAATATGGCCTAGGCTTGTTGCGATCCCTGTCCAGTACCAGGGTTGCATATGCTCTTCTATATCGGAATGCCAGAATCCCAAAAGCAGAGAAGACTGCAATAGCACGACGTTGCTCCGTTCATTGCCGTTGTTATACATGCACTAGTGAACCGAAATGTTCAGTACTGGAAGAAAGTGAAGGGACTCGGAGGGGGCTGGTGGGTGGGCCATTCCTTACTTTTGCTCGTGAATACATATCGAATCTCATCTCTCTCCTCGAAGGAAATCCCTCTTCCTCGCATATGTCCACTGGAATGAACTGTATTTTTTTTATATTAGCTTCGTGAGGGGTGGCTGCGCATTTCGAGTCTCACATTTACTGCAACAAAGAACAGACTCCATAGTAGTAAGGTGTTGTAACTGTGAAGCTGCCCCGATTGGTGATGCTGTAATAGTAGATCGGCTTCGACCACTGGTAGGATTGGGTGCACATGAAGTAGATAGGCCTCGACCATGCTATCACATGCATTTTTCCCGGGGAGTGTGAAAACGCCTTTGCGCTGCAGAAAATCACGATCTTCGTCGCTGAGATCTTTCCGATGAGATGGAATCAGGAAGTGCTTCGGTAATGATTGTCCTGGCGAGCAGATATCGAGAGCCGATGTGGGCCCTGTTCGTTCTCCTGTTGAAAGTTGAGTAAAGTATCCCTTCCATTGCGGATCGATCACTCTTCACCTGCATAGAAAGGGACTTCTCCAGTCCTTTGTGGCTGACCAAGCGCAGCCGACGCTATCTCAAGCCCACTACGTACTTCTTCTTCGATATTGCCAAGCCGATGATCGGCTGCCCTGGGCGTAGCCTGCTCCGATTGGGTGCGCCTGGGAGCCAGATCGGCCGACCTAGTCGCGTGTGCGAGCGGAGGTTCTTGGCTACTGATAGGCAAAAAACTTGAATGAACTGACTGACCAGACCTCCGACGGGAGCTGGAAGGTGCCAACTGGCCAAGATGCTGGACTCTATAGTGGATCCCTCCTGTTTAGCACGATTCGCATGTAAACCCAAATTCTGTATATGTTCTCACAATTTTGCCCGGTCCATGTCTACAACGCAGTCCGAGCCATCCTGGGTACATCCGGCACAAGGAACACCAGTGACTGTCAAACTGCACCGCACCTTTCGTTGGCGACACGCTTGGCATGCGACAGCTGATCTATGACGCCGCGAACGCGGATTTTGATTTGTGGGCGGCATGGTATTCTGCGAGCCAGATACCGAGGGTGTCTTAATGAATGTCGAAGCGCGGCTTCGGAATGGAGCGTCATAAAGCGAGAAACCAGCTATGTAAACGGTCTTCGAAGCTCGGTTTTGCGCTGCATTTACTGACAGGAGGTTGTTTGCTAAGATACCTCGGGATGAAACCTCGGTAAGCTGACGTCATCCGCTTCTTTGTGCCGGCATCCCGAGGCCAGAACGAGCCAGATCCCAACACTCCTAAAATATCTCAAAGTCGAAGGGGTAGGAATTCCATGTTCAATTATTAGATAGAAGAATAAATTATATTCACCTAGAGCCTACTCTCCATGTGTATAGCTAGAGTGAAGCCTTAGTGTTAGATCTAAATGTCCAAAAAGGGTCCTCAATTCGCTCGCATGCTTCTAAAGGGCTTGGTTTCTCGAAATAATTGTACCAGTCGCAGGGGTGAGCATACTCTAGTAAATTCCTCTGTAATAGTAGATACTTAGGTAGAAGAATGCCAAAAAAAGTGAGAAGAGAAAATCTATTGATAGTATGGATCCGTTCTATGAAGTGTAGAAACAATGCGTTCTATAGTACAACATTCGCACCCGCGTAATATTCAATGCCCTTAGCTCCCAATCCTTTCTAAAAAAGCGCAATTCCAGTGAATGCTCGGAATTCATCGGAATAGAGGACCGATTTGTTGTTTCCGTTCAAGTCGCAACGATAAATCTTACCACCAAGATCCGTCACATAGATCGTGTTGTTCTTGGTATCAAGCTTCAGCCCAATCGCTTCGTTGAAATGGTGGGTCAGAACCTTGTGTGTATTGCCACTGGGTATTCCAAGCTCACTACCGGATTTATCAAGCTGTAGTCGATTTAGCGAGTTGCCATAAGGAATCTCGCCACGATCAGTCCAATATAACATGCAGGACTCCTCATCGACCTCGAGATCAATAGGTTCCGGAAGACCATCAACCATGCATTCAACATCTGTTCTTGAATCCAGAGACTGGTCTGCTGGCAGCAAAATATTCGCACAGAAAATGCGACCTTGGCCACTTTTAGACGGGCCTTTCTGCGTCCAGTAGAACTTTCCCAGTTTCGGTGCAACTGTTATACCAACACACCAATTCCTAGCATCTGCAGCCTCCTTGGGGTTGTTTGAATTTCCGGCTTGCACAATCTTTTCCAGTTGACTGCCGTCAAAATTGCAGCGGTAGACGGCAAGTCCTTCCCGGTCACAGAAATAGATCTTGTTCGCGACTGTGTCGAGTGCTAGTTGCTTTGGTGTGTTGATCGAACCTTTGGGTAATAGCTCTTTCGTGATGTTTTCCTGACGATCAAAGGAAACCACGCTCCCATCAGTTTTTCCAGGAATTCCCATGTTTGTCCAGAATATTTTACCGGTGTGCGGGTCAACGGCTACACCATCAGGCAGTGACTGATTCTCCACCAGTGTTTTCATCTGTTCCCCGTCCCTAGAGAGTTCAAGAACAGAGCCAGATGTCATTGTTGGTAAAACCGCAGACAGGCCAAGGTCCAAAACGATAATAGGGGGCTTTTCAGGACCATCAGTGGTCTGGGATTTTACTGGAGCATATAATCCGCCCTGGGAGCTCTTGTTGCCCAATTTGCCGTGTTTGATGTAGTTTTCGTTCAGATAGTCGACAGTGTTCTCCGACGAAATTCCACGTTCTTGAACATAATGTGACTCAATAAACGCGACCGTATCCAGACCAACCTCTAGTTCAATGAGTCAGCAAATGAGAATGCGACGACGGAAGATTTAAGAGAACTTACGATCCATCATTTTACAGGGAGTCGAACGTCCCTTGACAAACATCTCGGTCCAAAGAGTGTCAATTTCCTCTGGCACCGAGACCCCTTCGGCCAGTATGGACAGGGTCTCCCTTTTGACAGCTGCCCAGAGACGATTGAAAATGAAACCAGTTGACTCCTTTCCGGCAATAAAAGGCAATGTGTTTCCTTCTTTGCAGCGTTCGACCATGAAAGGGAAAATTCCTTCTTCGGTATGGCCATCGGTCATGAGTTCCACGACCATGCACTGAGGTGGCATGTAATAGTGCATATTCAAGATTCGCTTTTTGGCAGATTCCGATACTTTTCCCAGCATCTCCGAAGATCTGTAGGACGAAGAGTTGGAGGCCAAAATACAGTCATTTGGAGCCTGCATTTCGAGCTGCGCGAATGTATCGATTTTGAGCTGAATCTTTTCGGGAACAGCCTCGATCACAAGCCAAGCGTCAGCCAGAGCTTCTTCCATTTTTTCGAAGGCATGTGCTGTGCCGATTCGATCTCCAGTTTCCTTGGCATATGATGCGACATTTTCTCGGATGTATGCTAGACCATCCTCGCGTTGCTGATTACTTGGATCCCGTAAGCGCACATCAAAGCCTGCAGAAGCCCAGATACATCCTAAAAATATCGACTGTCAGTTATCAGCTTCATAGATATAGCATAGAGTACACTGACCTATCCGTCTTCCCAATACTCCGGCGCCAAGAATGACGACAGGTCTGTTCCTGTAGTCCCGAGGAGGAGTCCAGCTTTGAAGCATCGTGAAATAATAATATGTTGATAACAAACAAGAGATAATTGTTATGTTGGAAGAGTGTTAGATTATTGCAAAGATTTGCGGAGGGGGGATGGTGTCAATAAATATACAACTAGTAGCCACTGACCGTCATGCTTACCACAATTTGTCGTGCCGGTCCCGAAGAACAGTTACTACCGGAAGACCCGGTGTCCAGTCATACATCGGTATACCGAAAATATGTAGAGACAAGAATTCCGACTTATCCGCGGCGCCGTAGAGGAGTAAGCAGGGGAACCCTCGGAAAGACCGACGTGCATGAACCTCGGGAAAGCGACCTCGGGAAGAAATTGTTTCAGCTTCCAAGTTTTTAACTCAAGCACCTGCTTAATCATAATTCGAAAACCAGGTTATGGGCACGGCTAGTAGATAGTAGAGTTTGCCCACGGGTCTTTCTCTGAAATTTTACCCTTGTCAGCTAAACCGTGAAGGGGCAGAGAATCCTGAGGTCCTTCACTGAGATACACTAGTATCTAGATCCCGGTAGCGCTCGAAAGTCCCGCGGTCGATTTCGTAGTTTCAGGTAACTTGAACGACTATTATAAGATAACCCACTGAAGAAATCTTTACAAGAGAAGCCATACATAAAATGTTAAATTAAATCCATGTCTATTACTATTTTCTGGCGCAGAAGCCCAAAGTGCGTAAGCATTTCCTTGGTTTCTAGCTGAAGTTGAGCGAAGATGAAATTCGCTAGAGATATAGACAGCAACTTCTGACAACCGACCCACTGAGCTCGGAATATCTCGCACTACAAAGTTATAGTAAGGATGGATCTAATAATAGGTACTGGATCAAGAAAGTCCCAATGTTTAGTAAATTGAAGCCTAGAAATTTGCGAAAGAAAGGTGTGAAAATACAAAAACCAAACATAGTCAAATTTAATAGCTTATGATACAGTGAGAGCCCGAATAATTGGCAAAGTGGACCTTTCAACTCAAAAACAGAATATCTGATCTGTAATTTTAGGGACAACTCCAGGGGCTTCAAATCCTAGGCTGCACAATGCCTTCTTGGAAGCATTGACCATGCCGGGAGGTCCACATAACATGATTTTTGTCTCCGAGGACGGAGCAGGGAGTCTGTCAGACATAATTGCGGGTGTCACATATCCCTTGCCGTATTTCCAGTTTTGCGAAGGATGGTCCAGCATGTACCATAACTTCAGGTTCTTTGGATATCTCCGAGCAAATTTCTCGAGTTCATCCCGTAGCAGAATATCCTCTTCTGACCGATTGGCATACACCAAGCTAATTTCCGTGGTATCTGCGTCATCTTCGCATATAGCACGAATGAGCTGGTACATCGGAGTAATGCCTGTTCCGCCAGCAATCATGCCAATGCGACTGCAAAGGCCTTTTTGGTATTTCATAGCGCCTTTAGGACCACGAAAAAGAACCTTGTCGCCAACTTCCAGATTTGCAAGATACTTCCCGGTGAGCAGACCATCCGGATAGCATTTGATAACTAGTTCCAGGACACCAGAATCCATGTTGTTTGACGTTGGTGTATATGAGCGAGAAACAGATTGACCATCGATGGTAGCTTTAATAGCAACATGTTGACCTATAGGAAGGCCAATAATCTCTTTAGGCCGTGGAAGTGTGAAAACAAATCGATAGACGTTTGGCGAAAGCTTCTCCTTGGCGCTCAGCGGAAGCTCCTGGTATTCCTTTGGATCGAGGAATCCTTTGACTTGGTGTGGATCAGCCTTTGCCATTACCTTGCTCTGGCGATGTGACGGATAGCGAGTAAAGCCAGACTGGATTTGCGTGAGGCTCGACAATTTTGTACCAATAACGACACCGATTGTCGTAAAAAGTCCACCGGCCGAGATAAACCCCTGCGAAAAGCTGCTTTCACCCAGACTTATTTTTGGAATAAGACTGGCATGTGCAAATTTGGGTATCAGGCGCAAAATTTGAGCTCTGAAATCAGAAATTGGAAGGTGTCCGCGCGTATGGAGAAAAGCAAGTAATGCCATTCCCCCCACAGAGCCTATGGTGGTCACAATTGCTCCCGCGGAGAAAGTCGAATGCTTCG